AAAAAACCTTTCTCCCATGTGGACCTTAAGCTCCAACCAATTTTCCTAGTGAGATACTAAACAGGAGCCTTGGCTATAAGTGAGACTGATAAGGCTGTTCATGGCTGCAGCTGGAATGCAGACGAAAACCACCCAAGGACAAGCGGTCTCCAAATGTCCTTCTCAAAGTTCCTGCTGGGCAGGGTTATCTCCCACCATTGCTAAGACATTGTGGGAGACAGAACTCGCTGCCCTTGACTGGAGGCTCTCTTCACAATGAACGTGGTACAGTAACTTCTCCCAGACCCCATGTGGCTCTGCTGTGACGATGCTCGCACCTCAGGGACTGTGCCCAGGATGCCAAATGTGTAGCCACATATGTAACTTAAAAAATACTCTAAAGAGGAGAAGTAGCTTTTAGAAGAGCGGGGTGAGACAGAAGACAATTACAATTCAGAAAAAAAAAATCTCATATTGATCATTGAGGGGAGATTTATGTATATTTAGGGGAATCATAGTTTTGAACTTGATGATCAGAAAGAATTGTGTATTTTTGTAGCACATCCTTGTTCCAAGCCACAACAACCCAACCTGTGCTGTCACTTTGTAATCATAAAATAATTCACAGAGAACAGAGCTGTTTTTATTGTCTAAAGCACATAATTTTTTGATACAGATATATTTTTTGATACAGGAATACAGATTGCAATACACAGACTAAAGAAGTGAGATGAATTTCCAATGAGGTAAATCTTGGGATTATTTCTGCAGAGTCTTGCTCCCTTTCCTTCACAGTTAGGTGTTCATACTTGTACACAGAGAACACTCCTGGAAATTTTATGCTCTCTGCAGGAACACAACAACAGACTGTTGGGAATGAGCAGTCTTTCTACACTAAGAAACACAAAGGACAAAGGAAGTGTCAGTTTCTCCTTCCAAATGCTCCACAACTGATTAAATTGAACACAGCAAACCTCTTCCCTTGAGGATCAGGGCTGACGTTTATTATTTCTAAAAACAAGAGTCCACTGATACCCCATGATGTACCACCAAGAGCCTCATCGCTCTCTTCTGCTCTCTCCTCTGTTCTTCCCTGGCCTATGATTTTTCTGCTCTTGTATTCTTTTTCTTTTTTTCTTTTGACAGGAGTTTCTAATTGTCAGCAAACAGACATAGTTTTCTTTCTGCTTCATTAGAGACAAGGCATTCATCCTTTCTGCATGAGAAAGGCAAAGTTCAAAAGCACAACTAATTAAAAGCAACTAGCAACCAAGTTTGCCTCATAGGCAGCACAGGAAATAGCTTGCCTGTGGACATTTTACCAACAATCCGACTTCTGTGCTCCAAGCAGTCTAAAAAACCATTTTTTTGATCAAAGGCTTCCTTCTCAGGCTGAGATTATTTGCAGAGCGGACAGATAACACTTTGGAAGTGCTAAAGCCATGACTTTGCCATCTTCATGTTTTTGGGAATGACACTAAGCCACTTGTACAATTGTTGGGCCCACACCAGTGTCTGAATGTCACAGGCTGGAATACACGCTAAGAATCACTAGGAATGTGCTGTATGCCAGGAGGCCATAAGTTCAGCTGGAATACAAGAAGTTTACCTTGATCTGAGTTCAGAAGCCCATTCCAGTTTTCAACCCATTCCAGGGAGGGTTGTTTTTGATGTTGTCAAATGGATAAGTTCCTAGATATTACTGTCTCTTTGGGGGTACTTACTACATGAATGTCAAGTCTTCAAGCTCTTCTGGTCATGACTAATACTATATCAGTATTTATTTACATAACTGCAAGATGCAAAAATCCTAGCATCAATTATTAAGTTTTCCCTTATGTCATAAAATGAGAAGAGGCAGCATGAATCCTAAGATGTAGTCCCAGACAAGGACAGAAAACTAGAAGATAGCTGTGGCTATCCTGGCTGTTCTGCCAGGTGGTGGATGCATGACCCAACTGGCACTGCTGTTCAGAGATTCCCATTTAGCTGCTCGTACTTCAATACACCTTGAAGAAATTTCTCCCACTCTCTCAACTTCTGAGTAATGCCTTCAGGTAAGAAGCCATTGAATCTTTGGCTCACAAACATTGCTTTAGTCCTGATCTCCTCCAAAGACAGAAACCTACTTCAGCTTAAGGTTTTTATCAGATTCTTTTTCCACTTCCAACAGAAGAGGAAAACCCCACAAATCTCAAACAACATAGTCCACTCCTGTTGACAGCACAGCTGACTGCATTACAATGTCCTACTGTGCCATAAAGAGGACAAAGATGGCCAATATGTATAAATGTAGCAATATTTAAAGTGATTTTTTCAGCAGACTTTCCTTGCTAGCTCTGATTGGCTCCCTTTTTTTTTTCTCTTCCATTCCTTCTGGGCAAAAGATACATTTTATTCCAAGAGCGTGCTAAAATGGAGGTAATTCATAATTAGAATTTTCTGCAAATAGAAATATTTAGTTTTTTAAAATGTATAAATTTCAATAATCTTTTTTTTTTGTGCACAAAAGTTGCTTAGACTTCTGGTATTTTATTCTCATTTTTGAAGGAGAAATCATTATGTTTCTAGTCTTGCTTCTCGATTTTTACAATTGATTTCTTGCTTTCCAAGATGAAGCAAAATAGTTTTTCTAGCAGCAGAAGTGCTAGACAAGAGATCTACAATTTAAAAATCTATTTAAATCTTACAAAAGTGGCCAACCATCAAAGGGTAAGGAGTAATTCTCACACTTAAGCTCAAAAGCAGCTCCTTACTGTCCTCTAGTGGAGCAGTAATATCCTCATAGACACTATCTGCTCCTTTCTTCTTGTAACTAAACCTGCTGCCCTTGGAGAGAAATCCTTGCTATTTCCATACTTCCTGACTTTATCAGCATCCATTACATCCCTTTTTGTGTGTGAAGAATTTCTGCTCTGCAATTTCTCCCCCTCTTCTATATCCCAGTTCCACTTGCTCCGTGAATAATTTAACAGACTTCTCCCTCCAACCTTTCTCAGAACATAAATAGGCTGAATAAAATGGTGCTTAGCAGAATCTCACTGTAATGTCTTATGCACCTTTAAACAGGCATCCTCTAGAGGAGAACTTCTTTTACACTGTGATAAGTTGGTTCCACTATGAGCTGTCAGATAAATCCTACTTTGACACCTTCAAAGTATCTAAAAGGCCATCAGAATGGCAGCTGTAAAAAGCATCATATTTTCACATTTTATTTATAGAGATCTGAAAATCTTGTTCATTATACTCCTCTCAATTATCCCAGTTCCCATGACTCCATAAGACTCCTCAGGGTGTAGCCGTGCTGCTTTCTTTGGAGTCCTTTTTAAACTCTCAAGGCAGAATTGTTCTTTTGTTCTCCTTAACCACCACAGCTGGTTTGAGCGTCATGGTTCTATGCTAGGGTGAGGGATTTCGCAGTTTCTTCTCTCACTTTCCAATCCATGGGAGAAGGCTCCAATCCTGTCTGCTTGCCAACACTCACGTCATTGATCTTTTCTGCCATTTCAGTTCCCAACAGCATTGCCCACCCACCCTGCACAGAAAGGTTCCCAGGCACTTCCATAATGAACCTTGCTGTAAAAGTTCCATCTTTTCTTGTCATCTTACCTTTAAATGTTTCCATTATTATTTGATCTTTTACTTTACCTTTCACTTTTACTGATAAAGTTTGTTCTGATAGTTCTTAAAATAGGATTTATAGTTATTTCTTTCAGAAACTTTCTCAAACAGCCTACGTCATAGCAAAATTTACATTTGTGTGCTTCCACTTTTCTTTTGGTGGACGTAGCTTCTACCGTGTAAAGGCTCTCTCTAGTTAAAAGCAGTCTGTTACCCTACTCTTCTTGTTAAAAACTTCTTTTTAATGGATAAATATTCAGAGCAATAGTTGTTCTAATACAATTTTCAAGACACCTGCAATAATTCCACCTTTTGGCAGCACCCGTTTTTTTTCACTTAAAAAAAATTTTTTTTTCAGGAAACCACTTACCTTGGCATGGGTTCTTGGACAGCCTGCTCCAAGAAATGATTTTACAGCGTTGTAAACATTTATAGTCAGCATTTATTAGTAAATACGGGAATGACTAAAGACTTTCATTGTTATTTAGCATTGTTTATGCCTTTGGTATTCCTTAGGATATAAACCCCTGTGAAATGCTGAAGTAAATAAACCAACTAAGCAGGTAGGATGGGGACAGTGCCTACTGTTATACCTTCCACTTCTCTGCAAGGCCTGTAATTTCAGCCTAAAAGGATTTAGTGTCACTTAGTGTTACAATTAAATTGATCACATTTGTTTTAGTTTCCTTTTTGGGCCTATGCTACAACCTCTCCACCAGCAGAACATGCCACCATTCCTATATAAATACAGCTCAATTTAAATGGTCCTATCCACCAAGTTTTTAAATATATTTTTGTACCCATATATAAAGTACACAAACAGAAATTACAGATATATTTATATATATATAAATATATACAGATAAACCCCTAGATGTATCTGTACTTTCTATCATTTTCTTTTTACTTACGGCATTTCAATAGTTGCTTGCTTTATGATCTCTTGTAAAGAGTTCTCACTGGTTGAGCCCAACTCTGATTGTAGCTTCTTTATTCCTAAGGATCTTAAGGTGATCTTTGGCTTACCTACTTATGTAGGTATTACCCTGCCTCTGTGATACTGTATATCTTACTTTCCCAATGCAAGTATGGAAATATACCCCCAGCTACAAAAGATTAAAATATCTCCAGAGAATCCTTTGTAATCTAGATTATGACTATTGCTGTCCACTAGGAGAACTCTGGGCACAGCTGTCACCCAAATTTAGAAATAACAATTAGATTATCTCTATCAATAAATGAGACACACATAAGCAAAGAGATTTCAAGGAAAAAATGAAAGGAATATTGGATGTTGTAACGTAAACACAGAAAAACATGGTGCTATACATTTAACACCAGAATTGAAGAAAGGCACTTAGACTTGCTGGTTTTCACACACCCAAAATATGAACAGTAAATACATTTCATATTTAATACAGCTTTATTCCAAAAAGATATAACCATGAGAAACATGAGAAAAGAAATATAAGAAAATCCAGAGCAAAATAAAATCACTGTAGAAAATTGTCATTTCTGTTCCCATTGACAGACATTTACTCTTGCAAGAACAACTGATTTCAGTGACTTCAAAGCAGTTACTCACTGACACAAAGTTTACACAGGAATTGCTGGAATTTCAGCTGCTGGCCTCAAAGAAAAAAAAAGTAGGAAACTTGTCTGACAGGTGCAAAAACAAATACAAAATGTATTAACACAATATGAAACAAACATACATTAAATAGTTTTGTTTCCTGGTACCTCGGACTTGCAAATGAATTTTATAAAATGTACATATTCAATTAAACAATGTATCTATCATTGTGGAACACATAGTTCTTTATTTCAAGTTTGTATTAACTATAAATATCTACGGACAGGAAAAATGCACTTCAGGCTGTCGCTCCTTACTTCCCCATCCTTTATGTCTTCTGCTCTTTGCCTTTTGGAGAAAACATTACAGCATAAGGCTGACGCCTTTTTGGACGTTGACAGGGAGCAAGATCCTCTTTAATGTATCCTTAAAAAGAAAAAAACCTCAGGTAAGAAATATAATATAAAAACAGGCATAACTTTAGCTGTTTAGCCTCAAAAAATAACTTGTAATTTTTTTTCCTTTTGGGGCAACTGGTTCTGATGTCACATAAAAGTTTTGAGATCTCAGTGTGCAAATATCATTCACTAAAATACTCACTTCTTTCTAGTAGGTAACTGCACAGTAATGCAATACAGACAGTTGACAACGAAGAACAGAATGGAAACTATGAATTGTTCATCTATTCAAAACAAAACTGCACTTTTCATTTTCTTTCTACCAAGGATTTTACATAAGAGTAACAAAGTATGCAAGATTTGCTAATTCAATTCACTAATAAAAATCACTTTTGAAAATGTAAACCCTACTCAGAGGAAACTTCAGGCACATGTGTTTTGTAGGTTTAAACAGTACCTCCCTTTGTTTTAAGAGCACTCAGATTTATTAAAGACTGGAAAAAGTCAAGCATGAGCCTATGGATCAAACACACCTTGAAAGCTTTCTGATAAGAAAAACATAAAAATTTCTATAACATGCTCAACTTAGCTCTAACACTGACAGTGAACAGACATTTTATGCAAGTCAGTTTCAGCACCTGGCTTTTGTCAATTCCTTACCGTTTTTCAGTAACAACATCCACCAAAATGAGAGTAGTAGATTTCTACTTCATAGTTGGAAAATTCTGTCTATGTAACTCGGTTATTTAAAAAAAAAACCAAAACAACACAGATGGTTCAAGATACCAATAAGGAGTAGAAAATACCTATGTTGTACCCCACTACTTTGTAGTGGCAAGAGCAATTGCTCAACATGGGAACTCTCGTATTTTAGTTCTCTTGCTGCACTGCTGTAAAATATTTTCTTTTCCAAGGGAGGGTTGATCTAAAGTCTGCTCTGATACGCTGTTGAAGACCATTAACAACTGAACAGCTCTTACTCCAGCAGAACAAGGAGACAGCCAAGAAGCTCATTTTTAATGAGGCAGCAAGCAGATTCCAAATGGGTAGTAACAAGTTATATGATCCATAAAAATCAAGGCTCCCTGTTCTTACAGATTAAGGACGATACTTGCAACACCATCACAAAATACACATACACAACTCTGGCTACATTTTCCTATGCCTGACCTGACACTGTTATAAGAACAGACAAAAGCAAAAATTACTTGTGCATTAGCTGTGAAACATGAAAGATATAAGTAACTCAGAATTCCTATAGGGCTCCTCACCCCAGCATTTCACCACTTCTGGAGAATTGTACATACAATATACTACAAATTCACCATGTTTTAACATCTTTTTATTGTCACTACCAAGCAGGGTATATGTATGAAAAACTGTCTAACTACACCTTATCTGTAACATTTCCATTATCACCTGGTATTATGAAGCTCTAAAAACACTGACAAAGGACATCAGTAGTGCTGCCTGTCTGTCCTAAGTAAGTACAATCTCTTGGCCTTTGCCTCTGAAAATCCAATTCTTCCTTATGGTTAAAAATACGTCGGGTTTAAATTAAGTTCTATAAAAACCCCAATTATTTCTGCCTTCTCTCTCTAGGCTCTAAGAAATTTTTCTTATATTCCTTTCTTAGTAGTACAGGAACTGCTAAAACCTGACAATATTTATTAAAAATCATGGCTGCTGATAAACAGACCTCAACAGTGAGAGAGAAAGGCTGCTATGTGAACTAGAGACAATTTCAGGGGGGGGAAAAGAAGAGCTTTAAAAAGTGCTTTTCAAATTGATTTTTGCACAAACCTCTTTCCACACAGGTTTGGGTGGAAGGAAATCCAACCTCCCAGAAATTTTCAGGGGTATTTGGAGGAATATAGCGAAATCTGTGTCTTGAACAGGAAGCCAGTTTCTTCTCTCTCTCTTCTTCTGGAATGTCTGCATAATACTGAATGTAAGGGGGGGAAAAAAAATCCCAGTTAGCAAATTCATACATAATAGAGTGACTGCTTTACACAATTGACATCATCAATCACTGTGTTTATTAACACAGTTATCTAAAAACAATGGTGAGGATAGCCAGAGTAGAGATTCATTATCCAAGTGACAAACACCTGGCAATTATCCTAAAAGCTTACTGAATTTACAGACTAAGTATAACTTTATAATGGCAAATTTGCTAACCTTCTATCTTTTAACATACCATAAGTAACAAGGTTTAGGCATGTGTACAATTACTTATGTCAACAGTTTACTGATTTTACAAAGCTAAGTAGCGCAGGTGTTGAAAGCTGCTGAAATAAATTTTTCAATTTGTTAACTGTCAGCTTGCATTTACAAATAAAATTTTAAAAAAGAAAAAAAAAAAAAACCACTACAAACCCCATGCTGCAGAATTATTTCCAGTATTCAAATTTACAGTAGTAACTGCAAACTTAAGTCAAAATGCTTCCTACTTCCTTACCCTCAAATTAGAAGTAAATAGAGTTAGCTTAAGTAGCTGACTGTCACTTGGACTCCAGAAATTATCTGCCAGCTGAGCATTCTCTATAGTAAACTGGCTATAATCTTTCACCCCTGTCAGCTGTTCTGCAATGAGAAAAGTATATACTCTCTCCAAACCTTTTTGCTGGGTGCTCCCCTAAGTAGCATCATAGAAAGTTAGGGTATATTTTTTCCATGCAGTTTTTTCTACTGTTTTAATTTGCAATTCTTGTTATATCTCCTAAAAATACAAACCCGGACCTTAGAGCACACAGAAGGTCAAAATATTTTCGAAGTGAACGCATTGTTTGATTCAAGTGGTAAGTCAACAGTCACACAAGAAACCTGACCCTTGTAAAAATGTAAATTGTAAAACAATTCTACTGAAATGGCAGTGCTACAATCCAAAAAGGCAAATTAAAGTTTGTAACTTATTCAGTCAGATGGAAATTGACCTAGACTGAGGAAATCAGGAAAAGAACAGGATACCTCTGTCAACAGAGATTATTTCATGCTCCCAGCTCCTGGCAGGATTTCAGAAAACCTACTTGGAATTGTAAAGTATGCTCATTCAATTTTTACCGACAAAAGTTAAGAACAAGATGTTAAGTCAACAAAATTAACTACAAGAATTCTACAATGTCTGTGTAAGATAAATATTGCTCCATTTGATTTAGAGATAATTAGCAGTGCTCCTTACTTTGCCCTGTAAATAGCCTGAAATTTTAGAAATTCATCTACTAAAATTTGGTAGTGTTGCTTTTTTTTTAATTAAAAAATTTATGATTAGTAAGGAATAATTACAGATCCAACAATGAAAAATACAGTACAGTTTAGTAGGAACAGAAAATAAGAACAATCAAAAATCAAGATACACATATTTTAAAAATAAATTAGGAAGAAACTTTTCTTCTTTGGCTTGTTTCGAAATCTATTAGGGTTGACAGAGAATGAGAGTTATGTATGTCAGCTAAACAGCAAAAAGAACTCTCAGCTGTTTTCTAGATTGATGTCACTGTCCACAGCATTTTTAATCCACACAAAACATTTGAGCTAGGCTTTTCCATGTGTGAAGATACTGCAATCTCATCCTGTCTTCCCTGTAAAATAATTGCTTATAGAACTCTACAATTTGCAGTTTCAGAAAGGGAACAAGCCCTAAAAACATTCCTCCCATTAGTTTAGCAAAAACTTACATAATTCCTGTAATCTAAATGCATATAAAAACATTTGAGTGATTCTCCTACTCACCTCAGTGTAGCTACACTTAATAACCACACTAATAAATGTTACTTTTACAAGCTACCAGTAACTTCTGCCTACAATCTTTCTCTGATAGCATCACAAGGTCGTAAAAAACCAAAACAAGACTTATCAGAAGTTCGACACTGTAAAGTGAATGAGATGCTTCCACAAAGCTTTAAGATAAGCACTTATGAAGGGCTTTAATATCAGCGTGCTGTGGCACGTACAGAAGTTAAATCTCAGGTCTTCTCAGAGTGACCCCACTCACACCACTTGCAGTACAGGGACTGAAGCAACTTACTGATCTCTACCCACTCCCTAAATATTCCCTTAGACTTTGGCAGCTTTACAAATCCATATTGCTCATCAGCAAGCCAAGACTTTCCTAAAGCATCATTTATGCTTTATCCAATACTCCCTTCTTCCACAGGCATTTAATTCAAAGCTAGTTTTATTATAGTGCAATGACACAGCCAGGCATTCCATACGTTCCAAGACATTAATCTTGAATGGTGCAGGCTTAGAAAAAAAGACCAAAAAAGCCAAAATCAACAACAAACCCAAACGCTCCTAGCATTTAATGTAGAAACCTGCTGCTACTAAACTGGAGCTGTGAATGTTTCCAGACACCATAGTTATCCCTCCAACTTGACAGAAAGTAACAAGAACTGGATTTGCAGAAGGAAGACCTGTAGCTTACAGAAACAGGAAATTAAAATGCTTAACACATGGATCTGGAACCATGAAACACACTGAAGGTTGGGGGTTGTTTTGTTTTCTTTCAAACTCTTTAAATCAAACATATTTTTTAAAATGGTATTTATAGTTGACTATAAAAATTAAGCATTTGTATTTAATGAGTTTTACCAAAACTATTTTTCAGAAAATATTTTCACTAAAAACATACTGTAATAAATTTCTTCAGCTAAGTAAATGGGACTTGACTATACAGCGAATAGCAAGAGAATATCTGAAAAATGTTGGTTCTATATACATGTGGAAATTAGGTTGAAAGATTCCAGAAAATCCACCATTGTTCAGTCATTAATCCACACTACTACTGAGTCATCATTTATTAGATCATAAAGTCTATTAATGGCCAGATAAAATATGTTCTTATTACACACATAATTATGTCAATATTTTATCTCTACACCAAGTATCTGAAAGCAGTTTAGTAAATAGAAAGGGAGAAAAAAATGTGTAATGTGAAACCCAAAATTTCGTACTTTTCAACAAGTATTTTAAACAAGTATTTTTGCACGTATTTGCATAAATAGATATATTTTTGCCTATGCTGGTGTAATTACCGGAAAAAATTAACCCAGAAAACAAAGAAAAAAATCAACAAACCCAAAACGAGATCTTTCTAATCTATATCAAGGTACAACAGATCTTACTTATTCCAGCACCTGTAAAGCTCACTAGAGCTTTTGATCTAAAGTCTGGACACCCGTAATAGTTCTTTGACCAGCTAATGTAGTTTTATTAACAGTAATCTTACTGGAACCACGATGTAAGAAGCTCTTCTTTCATACAGATACACACAAAAAAAATCAAACCCAAGACCTTCCATGCTATATGCAGCTACCACACTAAAAACAAACCACCTGCAAACTTGGTTATCCAGCTTTGGTAAACACTTACTTCCCAGCTACTGTGGGTAATGATGATGATGCAACCAGATTAATAATTAAAACCAGCACTTAGATACTGTCATGAGTTAGGAAAATGGAAGACTGACAAATTTGAAAGCACTACTTACTATTTCACATTCCTTACAAGTGTGGCCAAGCAATTTTCTTCTTTCTTCTTTTTTTCGAATAACCTCAATATGAGGAAAATCTAACACAGTATTCTTTCTGAAAAACAAAATGTTTTTGCATAATAGTACTTTTATTTCTTCTACATGACTGGAAATTTCCATTTTTTAGAACATAATGATGGACAGTCAAGAAAAAAAAGAATTCAGAAGATGTCTAAACCCAAATCATACTGACATTCATAGCTGAATAGAGCATTTTTTTATTAAAAAAAAAGTTTTCAACTGTAATGTGAACTTCTACATAACCAGAGATGTGTACCTCATTATTATGGCTTTTCATAGTGTAAAAGTAATTACTACATAGAAATTATTCAAACATAGGTCTTCTACAGAATATTTCTTTTTATCCAAGATGGAGTTGTGTTTGCAATGATTTCCATGAGAGGAACATATGTTGGGATTCAAGATCAATAGGTTCTTTTCAACTTAACTGCTCTCAAAACAGTAAACAAGTTTTCCTCTACAAAGAAAACATGCACTGAGGTAAAATATAAGCTAATTGAAGGGCTTGGTATCATTACAAAATGAAGATTCAGACTTCCAATTATCATTATACTGGAAGGCAACAGAGGAGGCACTAAAAGCTGCAATTGTTGAACACTATTCATTTATTGCCTAGAGAGCAAGGGGCAAAAATACCAGAGAAGGAAAGGTTTTCATTTGCACAAGCAGCCCACACGTTCTTGGCTCATAAATTCAGGCATCACCACATGCTTGTAAGAAACCACACGGATTAGAAAACACTGCATTCACTAAAATTATAAAAAGCAGAAGAGGCAATCCCTTCTCTTCAGCATGTAAATGTAATAGGCATCTCAACATTTTTCCCCTACCCCAGTTTTTATCTAAAGTCTTTTATCTAATGTCATAGATCTTCTACCTCTGCATCTTCAACTGCTAGTCTGTTACACACAAACATGTTTATTTAAGGAAGATCAAGTTCCCTGTAGGGAAGATACAAAGAGCCTTTAAATGCTCATACAGAACAAACTGAATTACCTCTCATCACTTTTGAAATAAGGCTCCACAAAAGCTTTCTGCTTGGCTTTATCTTGTTTATCCTCATGTTCTGTAAGTACACATGCAAAACAAAATATAAGGTTAACAGATTGTTTGCAGAAATTATTAACAAACTGTTATGAAATATAAAAATGCCATGTACATCTCAGTCTAAGACAACAGATTCAAACAGATATTAAAAATAATTGATAGATTTTGAACAGAATTGAACAGAACAGAATTGATAGAACCAGCAACCAAAAAGCATGACTCGAGTAGAAGGAAAACAGCAGTGAGATAAACAAAAAAGACAAAAAGAAAATCAAAGGAAAGGCTGCTTAAAATACAAAATACTGTAAAATCTTCAATAGAACCTAGAATAATGAGAAGAAAGGAAGTAAATAACAGTTGCCAGAAGCTGGTGTTTCTTTTAAGTCACTTTGGTGTTCTGCTGCTGCACCAACTTCCACTACATATTCCACATTTGCGTGGTGATAAATTAACTACCAAAAAAATTTTCATATTGCTTTATGTTATGTCCTTACAATAATCAATTTTATCACAAATTTATGCAAAAAAGAACTGGTGGCTAATTTGGCATGTTTGTTCCTAAAGAACAGAGTCTGATTTCAAATCAACTCTTGTAGTTTAAGTAAGCTGATAAAGACAAAATCAAATTATATCCCACTCTTCAGTTTCTTGCTCGCTGCTGTTATTCCCTTATCCTGCTCTTCATCATGAAGAGTTTCTTTTTCATCACATGCAGAATGATTATCTTCTGGTAGGCAGGATTCATATTCTTCATTGGTTGTCCGATCAAATATATCTGTTATTTCTCCTCCTGTTATTAAAAGCACAAAAAACCCATCCAAATCTATGTCTCAATGATTTTCCTTTAAATGCAAGAAATTGCATTTTGACTAAACGTGTAACATAAGAATTAACAATTACTTACTGCTCCCAGTACCAATTAACTCAAAACCAGCTATACCTTTATTCTTGTTGCAACTTCTCTGACAATCTTTCAAACGTGGCCAATGCTCATTTATTTTTCAGATACCTTGGATCCCATTTCTAAAATCTAATTAACTGCTAAATCACTGTGAGGTACCCTTTAACCTTAATACTGGATATGTGAAATTTTTGTTCTTGGAATTATGGACTTATCCAAGCAGAAGGAAATACTTTTTGCAGGTAGGAAACAGTCACTGTGGTGCAGCCATGATTCACCACATACTATATGGTAAAACTGATATAAACACATTTGGATTTATTTTAAACATACTAGTTCTATTTATAGGTCATTAAAAATGAAATTACTCTTCTCATACGAAGTCGGATGTGATTACATAGAAAACTTTCAAAGCTATTCACTGCAGGTGAGATCAGAACTGTTATATGGTTAAGTATTTCACCCTTTAAGCACTGTGAAGAAATAGCTACTGGTGCTCTCAGCACAAATCCTGGGGTTTTTTTTAACCTATGTTAAAAAAACCAACCTCAAAACCCACCACCAGTTCTCTAGGAAACAGACTGATCTGTGTAACCTATAAAAACACATCACCACTTTTTTTTACCTGCAAATCATTTCCTACTATCTAGCCATACAGGAAAAAAAGTGTCCTTTTACTCTTTTCCTCCTCCTTCTCAAAACACCAACCAAACAAAATACTCCAACAAACCCCCAAAACCCCACCATGCCACAAAAAAAGCAAACCAAAGTGAAGAAAAGAGAAAAAAAAGTCTTACGAGGACTGCTTTCCTGATTTTGCTCTTGACTTTTCATTTCCAATAGCACACTGTCACTAACATATGTATAATCCATATCAACAACTTCCCCTCCAACTCCAGTCTGAGAACCACCCTAGGGAAAAAAAAAGCAAACATGAGAATTGCACCCAGAATCAACTAGTGTAGTCAGTGTCAGTGCTGTGTATCTGAAACACTTCCAAAGCAGTTATTGGCTTATTTTTGGACACTGATTTACCTTTGTTCCTGCAGTTTACAGTCTCATTAAAATTCTTTCTCACTATCATTTGTCCACTTTCACACTGAGAATATGCCTGCTGAGTTTATGATGTACAGTTAAACAGTGGAAATGTTTTACGACAGCTGTAGCATGAACAAATATTAAATGAGCCAAATTCAGAATTTAGTCACAAAGTGGGTTTGGTCTGCTCAGAACAATGTTTGTGATACTACTTTGTAGGCTTTTTCAACATCATAGAACATGCAGACTTATTATAAAAGTTCACCTTTGTATCAATCACAGTAATGTCCATTTTGTACTGTGAAAGGTCAGCTCCTGGGTCTATGCTCCACTGGAAGTTTTCTAAAGAGGGTTTATCTTTCAGGTCTGTATGCACAGAATATGAGAAAAAAAAAAGACAAATAATCAGAATCAAACTCTGCCAGAAGCACCTGATCCCCTGGTTGTTCTGTATGTGCTTTATCATGGCACTCAAGGTGATCTGCTCCATAATCTTCCTGGTCTCCTGGGTCAGGCTGACAGGCCTGTAGCTCCCTGGATCCTCACTCTAGCCCTTCAACTGGGACCTCCCCAGTTATCCAGGACTGCTGATAAATGATGGAAAGTGGCTCGTTGAGAACTTCTGCCAGCTCCCTCAGTACCCTCATGAGGATCCCATCTGGTCCCATAGACTTGTGTGTGTCTAAGAGGTGCAGGAGGTCACTGACAAATTCCATGTGGATTATGGGGGCTTCATTCTGTTCCCTAATCCAGTCTTCCAGCTCAGGGGCTGTGTACCCTGAGAACAACTCATCTTACTATTAAAGATTTAGGCAAAAATGCACTAAGTACCTCAGCCTTTTCCTCACCCTTTGTCACTATGTTTCTCCCACACCCAATAAAGCAAGGATATTCTCCTTAGCCCTCCTTCTGTAGCTGATGGATTTACAGAAACATTTTCTATTGTCTTTTACGGCAATAGCCAGATTAAGCTCTAGTTGGGCTTTGGCCATTCTTATTTTCATCCTGTGCAACCTCACAACATCCTTGTAGTTCTCCTGAATCTGCCTGCCCCCTCTTCTGAAAGTCATAAACTCTCTTTCTTCATTTCTGAGTTGTAGCCAATGCTCTCTATTCAGTCAGGCTGGCCTTCTTTCCCATTAGCTCACCTTGCAGCACATGGGGCAGCCTGCTCCTACACCTTTTAGATTTCCTTCTTCAAGAATGTCCAGACTTCTTGGACTCCTCTGCCCTTCAGGACTGCCTCCCAAGGGAGGACTGTCAACTGTCTCCTCAACAGGCCAAAGTCTGCCCTCCAAAAGTTCAAGGCAGCAGTTCTGCTACCTCCCACTTCTTACTTCTCTGAGAATGGAAAACTATAATTTTGTGACTGTCATACTCAAGATGGCCCCCAACCATCACTTTACCCACCAGTCCTTCTGTGCCCACAAACAACAGGTCCAAGGGGTGCCTTCCCTAGTTGGTTCACTACTGAAGTTAGATCAATGACAGTACAAGTGTCAGGTCTAAGCAAAGAGTACAAATTGTCTGGTCGTTGTTCCTCTGGTCGTTGATGCCTCTTGATTTATCTCTGAGGAGATTATGTAGATTCCAAGCTACATGGCCATATCAACTACTGGGAAGTATCTTTTAAATTCATAATGCAAGTATTTCTAAATAAAGTATGCAGTGTAACAGCTTGGCTGAGGAGTACAAAAGCTTTGATTCTACAAGGCTAGTTCAAAAAGTTATTTTTCCAACTGGGAGCACTTAAGAGGAAAGAAGACACGTGCTCTAGAAAGACTATATGATAGCCTGTGTTCATTATCACTAAAGGCACAAATTTATTTAACAGATCCTTAGTAATAATGAAAAATATTAACAAAATTTCTTATGCTTATACTTGAGTCGTTTACAAGTATTTGATACAGAGAGTTTAAACTCAAACGTTGAGGTTTTATTATTACACTGCAACAAATAACAACGCTAAACAAACAACAAAGAACAAGGTTCCTAGTCTGTTGAATGTATACCTCAATACCAATGATATATTTATTATACAGTGGCAAAAATATGCCAGGAAGACACAGACTTGTAAATACTGGAGGTGATCTTGAGAAATCTCAAATAGAACGTGACTGAGCTAGAAGCAGAACAAAGGGATTAAAGTGGAAGAAAGGAAGATAGGAAAAATTCTATTCAATCAGAGCACAGGCGGAGGGGTAGGGAGGCTTTAGTAAAAGGAACATTTTCTTTAAATTACCTTGCTCATTTTGCTGTGCTTTACTTTTTGATAGTCTACAAGGGTTTGGCTGAAGTACAGATGCTGGTTCAGACTCTCCATGTCCTGTCCTTGTTTTCTTTCTATTTGGTACATGGCCACTGGCAACCTAACAACATATTGCAATTTTACTATTTCCCAAAACTTAAAGAAAATACTTCAAAGAAGAAGAGTCAGAAAAGCATACCTTTACATTATCAAAAAGTTCCTCTGTCTCTGCAGAACCTGGCAGTGGTGCAAATTTGAAGGGAGGAACTTCTTCTTTCACTGGGATCTGATTTTTCCTGTCAGGGAACATTTTTCCCAGCATTGCCTCTTGTACATAGGATTCCTCTTGTAAATGTCTGCCAAACAAACAGCTCTCATTGTTGGCATTTTGAATGGATGATGAACCTTCAGGAACAGTCTTCCCTATATGTGAAAAGATGTCATGCAGAGTCACTTGTTTCAGTCTATTTTTGTATGTCTCCTCACTTCCTTGTTTTTTCTCTTCACCACGAACTCCAGAGAAGGGATCAGACAGATCCAAGGGCTTATCACCTGGATGTTCCCCATTAACCTGCTGAACAAAGTTCTCTTTGCTGAATGATGTTTTCTCACAGCTAACTGCAAGATCATCTTCAGCTTTCTTTCTCTTAGCACACCTGCCTTCTAGCTGCTTCTGATATACAAGGAGGATATCGCTCTTGATCACCTCATTTTTAGCTGTGCAGGTGTTTCCAGCACAGGTTACAACCTCATTAGAATTCTTTTTCACAACCATTTGCCTATGGACAGAGGTCTGGCTGATAACTGAGTTGATTTCTGTCCCAAGATTCAGCGGTGCAACAAAAGCAACATCTTCAGATTTTGATCTACTTTTATGAGATCTGGAACTGGATGGATTGTTGAAGAGGTTGGTTTTGAGATGAGGCTTCAATCCTGAATCTAAAATACAAGGAGCATGAACTGTACTTGAGTTGCTCTTCATGGTGCTAGAAGCTCCAAAAACAGGAGAAGCTACCCGAGAATCCCAGTCATCATGTGGTGGTGTGTTATGAGATGGATCTGAAATACTGAATACAATGAGATGTGAGACATTTTTCTGGTGTACAGATGGAAGGAGAGAAAGTGATATAAAAAGAAAATGTAATGTTTCCTATTGCTGATCTGCTTTAAATCTGTGTAAGCTGCTAGTATTAACTGAAAACAGAAGGAAAAACAAAAATTAGCCTATTCTAGGGATAGGTACTGTTGCACTTAGAGCTGTAGAAGGCAACAAAATACAGATCTTGCCCTCCATTTTGGTGTATGGTGGGAAATTCAGGTCCACATTCAACTGAGAACCAAGGACAGAGTTAAGCCTGCCTAAGTATCTCTTCTATCCAAAGACTCCTTACCTTTCAGTGCTATGAAAAGGAAGAAAATGAGAAATAAAATTGTTGCAATAGGAGTCTATTTAGGTTCTTGTATAGATCTTAAAACCACAATAGATTCCCAAAGATTCTGCAAGTGAAGGAAAAAAGTGCAAGCTCCTTTCAGGTACTGTTTTTTACCTGTCATAATCAAAATATACATTTAAGATGACAAATAGGGCCAAAAAATTTTCACTTAGACCACAATATCCTGAGAAGAGTGGGAAGGGCAACAGTCAATTGGTTTGACACCTAATCAGAGCAATAGGATCCTTCTTGCATTCCAGCTCCAGGCCCACTATCCACCGGGTTATGGGGCTCAGAAGATACCTTGCAATACTGAGAAGTTAGGAAAGAAGGGACTGTGTACACAAGAAGCCCAAATCAGAAGTTTGTGAATTAAGTATAAGTCTATAGTTTTGCATTCTATCAGTTTCTTTGCTTCTCATGTTATTTACTTGAAAGAAACCCCTCTGATATGAAAATACTTGTTTCCATTTCTATACCTTTACAGCAAAATGCCACAAAGCTTGAAATTCTACGAAGACTCAAACCTCTATAAGCCTGCTTAAAACAATATTGTTATAACTGAGTGGAAACACACCCTAAATTGTTGTCATCATTTCTTGATTCAGAAGCCGGATGTTTTCTTGAGTCTTCAGACTGCATGCTCTCTGAGGCCTGGTTCATAACTGTATTAGTGAGGGGAAGATTCAGTACACTCTGGGACTCCTTGCAAATGGTAAAGGAAAACAAAGAAAAGAAGTGTGAGAAGATACTGGATTTAAAATTAGAAATATGCTTGGTTGGCACATAAATACCTTGAAGATGCATTCAAATTGAAATATTCAATACTCTGAAAAATAATAAAAGCTAAGAAATTAAATTTGGACCAGCAGCTTTAAAGAAGTCTTATGGAAACTGAAAAAATTAATTCACATGCATGGACATAAAAATCTGCATACTGTAATTCTCATGGTAGTTACCAAAACCATCAAATAATCTCATCTGAGTCACCAACCAGTCTCATTGCCAAGAAATATTTTTCAATGTCTTAGATTTGATTACTGCACAAAGGGAATTTGGCAGACCCAAGGATTTACTTCGCTATACTAGCAAAACTTGAAAGGAAGAACCACGTCTCTACCCTCCTCCTCAACCCCTTGAGGCAGGTCAGCACAGTTTATCTCTTCTTGCTAAAGCAGGTCAGTAAAGACTAAGCATAAGCAAACCAAAGTCGAACTCAGAATACTGTTGCAGAATTTTAATGCAAAAAAGAAAAATAGTTTTTAAAACAACTGGCCCAAAAAGCTGGTTATATAAGAAATTTGGGAATACTTACAGATTCCTCTTCAACACTAAGTCCAATTGTTTCTGCGACGACTGCAGCCAAGTTAAAAGATGGCTTTGGAACAGGGTATCCTCCCACCCTTAGTTTATCTTTGTGAGTAGAAAGAAAATCACAGTAAGTTACATATGCATTATAGTATCTTGCTCGACTCACAGACAGTGCAAACACTGAACTAAAAAGATCACAAATTAAAACTGGAATTTACGGAAATAGTTTGATCTCTGTCCAATAAAAATCATATCTGGAAGTGTAAGTGGCAAAAGAATTTCTGATGAGAGAAAAACGGCTGTATCAGCACAGAGAACTATGTGTCCAATTTAAATAATTTAAATATAGCTCCCCAAAATTAAAAATCAATGTAAAAGCTGCTTTTCACACTCCCAGTCTAGGGCACAAATAGTCTGTAAAGCATGTAAAACAGAGATAATGTGTATTTATAATACAATGCTTGTCTTGCATATTTCCTAATTGACAGTCACCATTATTTTTCATGTTTTATTAGGAAAACAAATAGATGAGTTTCCCTTCTTTGAGGGGTCTAACATTATTCAGTTCATTAAATCAGAGCAAAATTGGAAAGTACAAGAACAGCAACCACCACAACCTCGAATTCTATGCTGATTCTCAGTCATTAAAGAATTTTAAAAGGTTTGCACTTTATTAGGTTTCTGTGTTAAAAAAAGGTTAAAGAGATGAAACCTCAGTTTTACAATATTTTTGCCTTATTTTTAATGGAATTAGAACTAAATCTATTAATACACTTACTTGGCACAGGGGACAGTTGTGGATCACAAGTGTCTGCCACTAGTATCTCTCCTCCATGGTGAGTGTTCACTTGTGTGGAAAAGACTGGAATTTTTCCAAACTCTAGGAGATGTGGAAACATTTTCACATGGTGAAATTAGGTATCCTGTTGTGACAATTTTGTGTAGATACAATAACTCTGATCTTAAAAGCACTTGAATGAATGCAAGATTTAATATGTCAGTAGATCCAGCAATCTAAGCACGTCTGATAATTTGTGACAGTGATATGTCAGAATAAAAATAAAACGATAAATATTTTATATTAATCTTTTTTCTCACAAATATGATCTCAGCCAGTCAGCCCTAAAACAATACTAACACAAAATGATACCACTATCTAGTCTGACCACATAAAAATGGTTATTCAAGGTGTATTTGACATATTAATAGGGCAATGAAACTATTGAAGAGTAAACCGTAAAAGGTAACAATGTTCTGCAACAGCTAAGGTAATAAAAAGGTGAATTATGACAAACACATGCCATGCAGTCCTTTCTACCTTGATGACCAATAGCTTTTCCCAGCCATTAACTCTGATAGGTATTTACACCATTTCTTACATATTAAACTTCTGATTCATTTTGTAGCTCCATTGTTTTATACAGAATATGGAGAAAGATAGGTATGCTTAGAAAGGAGAAGCTACTCACAGCACTAAAAATTTCAAGTGCAAAATAAAGGGTATGAATAACCAGCCCACCCTTTTCATCCCACAGTTATCCTATTATTATTCTTGGGAAGAGGCCTTTAGTCAAAACTAGTATTTAGAAGTATTCGTACTTAAAATACCTTTTTGCAATGCCACAAGATAAATTACCTGGATTATGATATTTCCTGTGTATGAATAAAATGCAAGCACAAGATGCCTTATTTCACAAAAATACTTTTTGCAGACAAAATAGAGTTATTTCTATGACACTACAGAACAAAGTCTGGAAATTAAACGCACACAATACTTCTGAACTTAAGACACAAAAAAATGCAAACGGTGTAGAATAGAGACAACGAGAGATCATGTAGCTATCTACGAGTTTCAGTAACAATACTTCAGTTGCAGAACAATTTCAGAATGTGGCAAAACATCTGTTTCACTCTCCACTAGGTGGTGACATCGCTGCGTGCACAAGTCAAACCTGAACAGACGCTTTTTCAACCCAATTCGTACGAAGAGAAGAAATATAGGCTGGAAAACTGTTACATTTGCATGTGCACGTGGATGAATAAAAGTAGAAGGTTAAGATAAGTTCTGAGCGTATCACTGATGTAACAGTTACTGCTATAGACTTTTTTCCCTGGACTCATGCATTATCACACAAAAAGAGAAAAGGCAAAGCAAAAAAAGCACAAGGTTTCTTTTGTTTTTTTTTTTTTTTTTAGATTTTGTCCTTTGCAATCAAGTTTATACACTGTATTTCTCTTTAACCCTTAGTTAATTAAAAAAAAAAATACTCTTACCACTGTTGTTTTCCCTAAGTTCCAAATCTGGGGGTGTATGTTCTGTATATCGGATATGCCTATTCTCTTTTTTTCTTCTCATACGATTAACCACAGAAAATGAAGATGTTTGAACTGGAGAACCTGGAATGACTCCTTCTTCTGCCTCTGCTACTTGCTGCTTTTGCACCCTGGAGACCCAATCAGGTGGTCAAATAAAACCTCAAGTCAACAAGATTAAACTTTCATTTCAGCAAGCAGGACAATCACACAGTTCAAGAATGCAACAATTCCAGAAATACAGCCACCTCAATAACAGTAAACTGCAAAAAAGTAATACTCAACCCACTTTCTAGATACATCTAACACAAGATTAACCACTGCTCCACCAAGCCCAAGGACAGCATACAACCTTAGCTCTTCACATTTGAAGTCAACATAGAGCTGCACTATGGAAGCCCTTTTCCCTGGTAGAAGCTAGGTACTGTAGAGGTTATAGCTTGTCCCCTGAAACAGGTGTCTCTTCAACAAAAGAGCGCTGAAATGGATGGATCAGTGTCTCTCCCCTTGTATGGAAACCCCTGTGTATCTTCACAGTTTATGACGCTGAGGTTGGCTGAGTTGGTTAGAGCATGGTGCTGGATAACACTAAGATTCAATCCCTTGATGGGCCATTCACTTAGGAGTTGGACTTGATCCCTGTTGGGTCCTTTCCAATTCAGAATATATTCAGTGATGGAAATACTGTCTTAAATACAATTTCTGACAATTTTAAATAGTAACAAACAGAACTGTATTCAAAGCAATCCCCCTCCAAAGCATTGATGTTACCTCTAATTCAACTCTGAAAAGTCTTCAGGGAATAATGTAAAAAAGCATGTAAAACAAGTAATGTTAAATACGAGAGGAGTTATGAAGTTTATCTTCTCTCACACTGTCAGCTCTAACAGCCTGTTGGAGAGTCAGTATATAAAACTTATTGTAACAAAAAACTATGTCTTTTCTCTCCAAAAACTCTGCCTAGACATACCAAGGAAATAACAACAAAAAGGACTGATTTTGGATCTTTGAATTTAAATAGTTTATTCAGTACTTCACAAGGGGTTATCTGCCCTATGGTGGTGGCAGTGAAATGTGGAAGAGGCAGTAAAAGAATAGCACACAGAAATCTAACTCAGCCTGCTTGATCATCTTCCTGCAGTTGCACTTTCCCTTATGATTCTCAAGAGAAAACATAGCCCAAAAGATCATTTCCTAACTATAAAGGGAAGGATATAAAGTTCTGATCTAAGGGAAGAAGAGGAAATACAGATAAATCTTTGCTTGCATGGAAGCTGAACTATAAGATATTATATAAAATAAGGTAATAGAAAACTTGAAAAAGCTGTCTGGCTTGAAACAAATAGCATTTTTGCAGTTAGGCTTTTTACCAATATTAACTTTGAACACTTAATGACAAACACTGATGCACTGATGTTCTCAAGTCTTGACGAATCCTATTGTGTGATTTTGCAATTGCTCTTTTCTAGCACATTTACAAAAAAAGCATTGGAAAACTGTATCATCTACTTGCAATATCTTAAGACACAAAATAAACAACAGAGCAATATAGTAATCAATTTATTTTGCAAATTTAAGTTACCTCTTAGAGTTCTCTTTAAATTTAGTGGCACATGTGACTTTGTTTGACAAATGAACCTACTAAAAATATATTTTTCTGCACCTTACTTCAATACAAATCAAGGGGTAGTTTCTACATACCATCACAGGAAAAAAACATCAAACGAAGCAGTTGCCATACATACTGTACATCATAACTATGTAATAAATAACTTCTGAATCACGGATTTTTCTGAGACCCCAGAACAGGGTTTTGCAGAAAATTCCTTACTGTTTCCATCCATGCATAATGAAATCTCAGTGTCATAAAGGATCAGATAATAAAATTCTTTTACACTTTCACTGATTTCACTTCTACGGAGAACTCTCAGATTTCTATTCCTAATATTATAACTTGGTCACAAAATACAGAAGACTGCAAAAATCTTATTTCATATCATGCACTAGAAACAATCTGCTACTTTGCACCTACAATGCAATTGATATTATATTGATCTGAGCTGTTAATTCTAAATAAAGTACCATGACTATAGCTCAACTAAAACAATCAAATGCAGTGATTGTCAAAACAGCAGTACCATCCTTGTAAATTACTGTTTATCTACTCAACTCTGCACTTAATTGAACGACCACCTAACATGCACAGCAAATAACTTATTGTTACATTGGTCACTGTCAGCTTTCCTACACTGGCCAGAGATTTTTAGTGGATTTTTAGTGGAAGCTGGGGTGATATTACCCCGAAAAGACTATATGCACATGGAAAAAAGAAAGGACAATGACGGTGCAAAGATGGGGGACAAACCAAGAAATACAAAGCAATAGGACTAGTCATTATGAACTGAACTCTATTTGTTTTACTCCCTACTGAAGCTGAATTCTGAATTTCTTTCTGAAAGAAATAAACCACATGCATAAAAACCCTTCTGTATCAAGTCCACACATCCTGTCCCCATTTCTCCCAGGCACGTACACAACTTAGTCACAGACAGGCAAAAGTGAGATAAATTTCAGATGATGTCAGACCACAACAAGAAAGGAACACTACCTCTGCCGTGCACAGTACACCACATTCACGTATTAACCACAACATTAGATGGCACATTCTTACTACATCAGATTAAAATTTCACAGTCAGTTTGTAGCTCATTATTTTTATGTCTTGTTTTCAAAATTTACTATAGTATTTTTCTTTTACAATTGCAAAATTACAGTAAGTTTATTTTTAAAATGTATTACAAGATCCTGGGACTTTTTGACTATATAAATAACTATTTTTCTGAAGTCTTAGCCGAGGAGGAAACAAATGGTAAAGAGGCAACCAAGGAATAAAAGTATGAGACATAAGGCTTTGCTATAAACTGTGATCAGAAGTCAAGAAAAATTTCTATGATAAATTTACTTCTCCCAGTTTTTTTCCAAGTTTAAAACAAGATGCACACAGCTAAAATAAAAGTCTGCAGAATAGAAGGAAACTGGGCTTATGTTGTTATAGGGGCAGTAGGCTATCTTTTCAGAGTCTAGCTATCAGAAAGAGGAAACAATATTTAAAGACTTCAAAGCTGATATTTATATTCCCAGACATTTCTTCTAAGGAATGGGGGAATACACAAAACAACACAAAACTTACTCTAGCTCCTTCTGCAATTGCTGGAACTGTTCAGTTAACTTTTTATTCTCATCCTGTAAGTTGTTTTTTTCATTCACTGAAATTTATAGAAAAAAAAATTACAAAAATCAATGCACACATGTTAACATGATAATCTTGTCAGGTCCTTCAAGGAAACAGAACCAATTCTAACATGTAATACCATACACTTTCTCTATGGTTTACAAAAAGGAAGTTTCAAGCTAGTCAGTAAAAAAAGCAGTGAAATAACATGTTAGAAAAGGCAGAGATGGCACAACTACTGTATCACAACATTAGGTCTACCCAATCATTAATTACTTTTGTCCGTGTACACACAAGTGAGACTGTGCTGTAAACACGAGTGAATTACTCATTTGTCACCATGGACAAAATTGCTTTCTTAGGCTAAAGATAACCTATGAAATATAAAGCAATTTGAATTTGGTTTAACCACTTAAGCAACCATTAAACCTTTCTTCCATGCTGTCTCAAACTAACATTGTGATAGCTCCCAACACTTCTGTTCAGTTTAATTTTTATGTTCTTGTTTTTATTTTGTTGTTGTCTATTTTGCCTCTATATTCCTCAACTGATCTTCTTCATTGTTATATAGATCTCAATGCAAACCCATGGGAGCCTACTGCTGTGTCACAGTTCAAGATTTGTACCTGACAGGTGTCACCTTCATTTTTAAGATTCAGAGCTAAATTTAGAGATTGGCTACACACTGTTGTTCATCATTAAACTCAGAACATTTTTATGTAAGTGCCCTATATCAGAAGTTCTCAGAACACCGATGTGTTTTGTATTAGCATAGAACCTAGTATTTCCGTAATTCAATTAAGCACCAAAAAGCTATTTTTTTGTCTGGCATTTCCCGTATTTTAAATCTCACTTAATGTCTGCTTGTTCTTGACCAAGCAAGACAACTAAATGATACAAAATAATTAATGATAAAGATACCATTAACATTTTAAAATTCTATCCTGTAAAATTCTATGCTTTATACAATCAATCTTTCCAAACTCTCTTTATGAACATATTTGTGTCCTACTTGTGTATCACCTGGAACGAACAGTTTAATTTGTCTCACATGTTCTATTTTTTGATTTCAAAATGAGCTGGCTACTAGCTGCCTAGTATGAAGCTATTTTTGTGGCCTCGGTTATGTGACAGTAATGGGTTTTCTGTAGTTAAAATCCAAGACCAACTACAGGACACAAGCTGGACCCACTTCTGTCTGAACTTGATACTTTGCAATCACCAGTTCCTTTTGAAGTCAGGGTTTTCTTAGGAAAGCTGGCAATCATTCTAGCTGTAGGAATAAACAGAAGCAGTCACATTTTATCTAAAGTAGCTACTTTACAGTCTAAGATTTTCCACGTCAGTTCACTTTCAGTATCAGCACTTCAATCTAATAAGGTGGGTCAAATGACTAGCCACTGGTATGTTACATATTTTCAGACTGTACAGTTAAGTATCCTCTGACTGAACTTTTTGGGCTTACTAAACACACCACATATAAATTATATCAAGTTACAGGAATTACTGGAGAACCAGTTTCCAAAACAGCATGTTTTTTCTTCAGAGTTAGGGATAAAACTCACTAAGCTCAGTAATAAGTTTGAGATTCTGCTGCCGGATATTTTCAAATTCTTGCTGCTTCTTTCTCATGTGTTCTTCAGTTACAGCACAACGATCACACAACCCCGCTCTTAATCTACAATAAAAGGAAGAGAAAAATGTCCCTCTGTTAAAAAAATATTGCCATGCATGAAGCAGATACCAATGTTAAACAGGCCTTTTGAACAATGTAAACCAGAAAACTTCTGACAACTATGTGGAACACCACTAAGAACTGTGGTTTTTATGCTCACATAGCAATGTTTTGAGATTCCTGAACAATGTAATACCATGTGCTCTAACATTTGCATAAATGATTGTAGGTACTGGATACTTCTAAAACAACATGTATTACTTTATTTAATAAAGTGGAGCATGCTACACCTTGCCACTGAAATCCTTTGTGAAGCATCCTACTAAGAATACTGTCAGATATAAAACCGTTCATTTTAAGTAAAGTTCATTCAAGAAAATACAGATAAGCAAATCACTTCAGTAAACAGAATTACTACTTCATCTATGAAGGACATGTACTGTCATTAAGCAAAATAATCAAATAAAAAGGACAAATAGTAATTTTACTCTGTAGCAACTGCCAAACAAATGTGAACCCTTTATCTTAGCAGCAATAATTTGAAGCGGATCCAAAAGCTCATGAGAGACCTTGACTCCACTGTCTCTAATGATTTTCATTAGCTGTTTAAAACACAACCATGATCAGAAAAGGACTGGTTAGAATCACTCTATCTTACCGGACACATTCATTGATGCATTGAAATATGTGTTCATTATATAGGTGATAAATGGAATGTATTTATTTCTGGTACACATCAAAAAGCTAACAGTATTACCAAAGTGGAAATCAGCCTCTCTTTTGCCTGCTAAATAAGAAACTAGTGAGTCAAAAGTTCTGCATTGTAGCTGCTACTACATCAAGTATTAAAAAACCCCAACTAAACAAGCTATGTAAGATTCCAATTTCACAGCTGAATATTGGAAGTAAAAGCCATACTGGTTTATTGGTGTTTTAATATTGTGTAATTGTAGCTAGAGTAAAATGCTGAAATACCTCTTCATACTAGTTTATCTGAATGTGTAACAAACAGTATTACAACCTCCTTTCATTAAATCAATACTCCTTTTGCTTTTCACAATGTGAATAATTCATCTGCTAAGGGATTAGAAAAGTCCATCCATACCATGAATGCCTCTCTACTTACATGGTATATAAGTTTATTACCTGCACGGCTGCAAGTTTATCCCTAATTGCTTTCATAGAGAGACGGAGTTAAAAGTAAAAGTAGAGTATCACAGCTTTAAAATTTGAGGTAACCCAGGAATAGTGGAAAACCATTTACTATGTAATGATCTCCTGCTCCCAGAAAGCTTCTGAGAGTCTCTTAACAGCAAATTTAACATACATTTTCCAAAACAGGTATAGTTTTCAAAGATTAAAAAATGCACTGTAATTTCATGTCTATTAGTTTTGTTTTGTTGTACCAGATTAAACAGCAATAAATAAGGAAAAGACAGAACGGATCAAAAGGTGAGAAGAATACCTAAGTCCAAAAGAAGGTAACAGACAACCTGTAATTGCCTAAAAATAGGCAGTTGGTAAAAAAGACCCCCTCAAATCTGAAACATCTCCTAGTGAATTATTTCATCAGTTTCACAACGTATTATAGCCTTTGGGTTTTGTACTTGTGCTACCTCTTGATCAATATAAAATTTAACTATACAAAGATGGCTACAAAAGAATAAACATTAAAACATCTGTTTACCTCCCAAGCTGTTCTATACTAACTTCTAATGGTCTTAACTGAACTAAACAAGCTAAGCACTTTGAAAATAACAATATAACAACTTAGTTATATAGAAGAGATAAATATGTATGCTATATATTTAGTGATTGTTCTTCAGTCAGAAAAATGCAAATTCTATACTTTTTCCTACAACACACTATTTGGATTGCATTAGAAAATTACTTGCTTACTGAAAAAAAAAAAATCAATAATCCCATACCAAAACACAAACTCAACTTTACCAAGTTTCCAGAGCTACTCTGTAAAAGAAAAACACAGCAAACTCAAAAGCCAGAGGATACTACTTCACCTGTCTTCTAAAACCTTGATAGTGTCATGAAGTGCTTTTTGCTGTTCTCTGAGCTGTTGGTTCTTGGTATAGAACTCTTCAAGCCTCTCTGCATCCCTGAAAAGAAAAATAGGAAAAATTAGTTCTAGCTTTAAATTGCAGTAATTACTTTTTACTAGAGAATTTTCTCCACCATGTTTTTTCCATATCCTTGGAAAATGTGATTATCATTAGCATAAATATTAAGCTGAAGAGAAAGCTAGTTTTTCTGCTTAATAATAAATTACAAATGACAGAGGAAAGATGCAGATAGTTTCTAATTAATAATACAAGTGATCATCTGATGATGATCATCTGATGTCTGATTTTTGTTCTGGTAAAAACTAGAATTGGTGACAATCATGACATAAAAACTAGCAATGTTCAAGCAACAGTTTCAGAAAACAAACTCGAACACTTCTCTTACACTTTACTGTGTTGTGGAGCTATTGGGAATCTAATGGGAGCTTTAACAATCAGGTCATTTTGGTCTTGTCTTATCAGCGAGTAAACTCTGCAGCGTGGCAAACCACAGTAGGTTTGGAAATCCCTGAAGACTCTTTAGATCCATTAGAGGTTTACTTCCTCAAGAAGAAATTCTCTATAGAGCATGTATTCCCGTAATATGAATAAAGACAAGAGAAGTCTCTTTCCAAAACCCTCAGAAGCAGATGATCTTGTGGAAAATACCTTCTATAAACACCGGAACTAATTAATTAACAAAGAATATTTTCTCCTTTAAAGAGCTAAGGAAAAGGAATAATATAAAACATCCCAATTTTAGCTCCCTTTCAGTTTTATTATCAGATTACATCTCTTTAAGATGCAAATAAGGTACAAGTGACAAGCACACAATTGTTTTCTCAGAGAAATTAATATTCAGTAAAAGCTAAGCACCTGAATCTGTGTAACATGACAACGACTAAGTTCTAAGAAATTCCCAGCTCTTCTTTTTACCATGTAATCCCTTGTATATATCCATGAAAGCAGTTGTTTGTTTTCAGTGTGCCTGAGGTGGATTATTTGTGGAAGTCATGAAATTGGCTCATGAAAAGCTGTTAAAAACACGCACACACACCCCCCAGGAAATGAAGATATATTTACTAACTTGTTGATACAGTTCTTTTACACAAACATACTTTTAAATTGGCACTATCCCTTTAAAATATGTTTAGCCAAACACATTTTCATATTGCTGGCATTACAGTACAAGAGACTAGCAGTCATGGGCCATAAAGTGAATGGGACAGCTGGAATCATCTACAGTGTACAATCACAAGCATATTTTATTAATCCTTAAATTTAAGTACAGATCTTTTATTTTTCTGTACTATCACACAGACCCACATATGCCGCTATTCCAACTGCATAATCAATCTATAAAACAGTTACATGCAAACAGCATGAGGGACCATTTAAGGCTTGTACTTTTACTTGGGAAGGACAAAATGTTAAAGTTCTGTTACCTCAGTTCACTAACCAAGTACAGCCAGGCCATTGAAAATCTGAAGTCTGACAAAAGTAGGCAGCATTTTCCAGCCACAAAAATCCCCTCATTTTTCTGTTTACGCCACTCACAGGAGACTTAAAATAGCAAATTTAAAAATTGTTTCTAGTTAATTCTAAGTCACTCTACGGCATTAAGTAATTTGCAATAAATAAGTAAGACGTTAATACTACATGTCTTTCACCTAAACCCTGTAAAATGCCCCATGAAGACAGTAAGACAACAGAAGGAACTAGACTGTTGGTTGGGGTTTTTTTCCTTAAAATTCCAGTGCACCTGATAAACACAACAGACATTTTTGGCAATGAAGGCACTGCATAATGGCCAGTCTCTGACCTAGGGTTTACAAGTCATTAGCTCCAATGCTGGATTGGGATACAAAATAAGGTGCTCATTGTCAGCTGATTACCAAGTTTGAAATACTAAACCCCAGGTATTCAGATGCAGCAAGGAGAACAAGACCTCCTATGTAAGAGTACTGTAGCTACAATGTGGCAGTTGTAGAAAGATTCCAACAAACAATGATTAATCTATTTGATATTCTTTCATTCACAGCACTGATAATATTTCTCATCTAGAAAACTGACTGATCAATTTAAGATTCCAGAACATAGAAGCAACTTATGATACACCAGGCTAATATCAAAAGCAAGAGACAACTTCATAATTTCAGATTTAAAATGAGCAACTACTAAATTTATAAATTATACTTAAGAAAAAACACACCCTGTAAAGAGCTACATACATCTTCAGTTGAATTATTAAAGTAAAAAGTTTTTTACACATCTAAAGGAAAAATCCATGAAACCTTAATTGATCTTACAAGAATTACAGCTCATTAATGGGACTCTGACTTTCCTTTAATAAATTAGATCATTAGGATGAATACTTACAAGCATCTTTCCTTCTTCAACTTAGATATTTTCAGCTGTAAGCCTGAAAAGTAGAAAGAAGAAATCATGTTATAAAGTTATGATTTTAAAAAATGAGTGAGACAATAAATTAACTCTCCCTTTGCCACTGTCATCTGCAAAGAAAGACAAAATTGTCACTAATTTGGAGAGAAAAAGGATCCTTACTGGACTTTTTGAGTGTGTTTTACAGGTTCTTGGAAACAAATACAGTCATTGAGATCTCCAGGAAATAAGGACTTCTTAAACAAACACACAGGTTTTCACTTACACAAGTAAACCAACACCTCTGTGAAATAACCACACATGAATAGTCAACACTGTCAATATATTTTCATTGACTATGCCCACATAAGTAGCATAAAACATGTTCTGCGTGCACATAAATTCCTAACACTACACTGGAAATGAAGCATCCAATCACGAACTGAGAAATGCTTTACAGTGTATAAGCATAAAGGAAACATTAAAAATATGTGATTCAAGGCTTTAAAGCACAGAAGGATAGCATCCTTCTCTGGAGATGTGCTACCAGACTCTCTCAGTCAAAGCTTCCTTGGAATATCTGAAGGTGAATTGAGGAATGATATTTCACTTGTGGACCTTCTCCCACTATGAGTTCCAGACTCCTAACTATATATGCTGAGCAGAAGTAAAAACGTTTGCAAATACAAGAGCAGGAGTGGCCAGCTGACAGCCCAGGGGACAGAAGACAGAACACTGTCAAGCCAATCTGCTTGCAAGGTCTTGCATGCATTTGTATGTGCACAGAGGCAAGAAGATATTTATGTGCAAAACAGTTTAAAAAGTGGGACACAGCGCTATGGAAATGTATGTGATGTTACACACACACAAGATGGCCCTTCCTATTCCAGATAAACAGAAATAATCAGAACCCAATGATAGAGCAGTTTCTTAAACAGAAATACAAGAGAAATGTTCATATCATATCAGCAAATAACATGAAATTCCCAGCGTGGTTATTTTCTTCTAACTATGAAAGGTTGCTACCAACTTCAGATTGAACATTAGGTGTCTTGTAAGCTCTCTTGCAAAAGCATCACGCATTTAAGATAGCAGGATAAACTTATAAAACCAGAATACTTGTCAGAAAACTTCAGACTACTTTGAATTTAAACCTATATACATAGCTAATACTACATCTTCCTATAGAAAGTGTAGGTTAACACAGCTAACACACTATTTTTTCTCCCCCACCACACTCAACTAGGAACAGCTCTAAGGGAAAAATTAATTGCTGCAGAAGGTTCACTCTTCAGGCCACTTAAAATGTCAAGCCAGCCAGAGTTAGTGAACCCATACTTGCTACAAGATGCCAGTGAGACAATGAGTATAAAATGTAGACAGACTACTTAAAAAAATTCTTAGGAAATATATCACGATTTCTTTTATCTCCAAGTGTTCGGCACCTGTGAGACGTTATGTTCTATCATGCAGATCAGCACAGAAAGAGGGTTTATTTTTTAAGTAGTTGCTATTCATCAAGTCAATTAGGCATCTGCAATTAGAACCCCTATAAAGCTTGCTTTAAAGCTGCTCCACGCCCATCGGAAGGAATGAAGCTGCAAACAATGCATCTCCTGTATGAACAGGTAGTCTGTTCTACAAGTATTTAGGATTGTAACTTTGGCAACCTGAGCGACCAATTGAAGAGACAGGGCTCAAAAGGCCCAGTACTGTGCTACAGGTAACACTATCTCCCCTCTCACCTGAATTCAGGAGGAACTAAACTAGTTACTTAAAGGTTGCATTTTTTCTTAGTTCAAATGACTGTAATGAGAAGGCAAGAAACCAGCCTGTTACATTTATCCAAGAGCCTTGAATTACCTCTGCTGTAGTATCTTCCTTTTGCTTTTCCAGAGCATTAAGAGTTAAGTATGCTCCTTTAAGGAGCTTTGCTCTTTCAAGTTCCTTTATTTAACACATGGAGCACATAAAACTCTGTGGAACTACACTGTGTCCTTTTGCAATTCAATTTTATCTTTTGCACAATATTTTTATGGACTAGACAAGCTGCAGACTATATAAATCTACATTGCCTAAAGCTTTAAGTGCATTAGTAAATGACACTCCACACCTATTAAAGCAAAAGAGACCTTCTTTAAACTATCATTAAGCAGATTAATTAAACACTATTTTATGAAAGTTATTATCTGATTAGACTACATAGCTGTAATATTTCGGTTAATGGCTATGATAATTTCTGTTCTGATGAATTTTCAAAACTTCCTTAAAACTGACAGCACCGGGAAGACTGCAGAAGCTTTATCACTGAAGATTTCTTGAAACAAGTTGGACAAGCTACTGTCAGTAATGACGCAGACATAATCCTACCTCAAGGGTACAGAGATGGACTAGATGACCTTCTAAAATCCCTTCCAGCTCCATTTTCTATAATTATTTACTTTTGAGGAACTTCCAGCCATTTCCTTTCCTACAGCAATCTATCAATGAGATTGCTTTCCTCAAAAGTTTCTCTCCTTCTATGACTACGGTTTTTTCTCTGTTGGTATCTTCTGCTTTTCAGAAGAAAACAATAATTTAAAAAACTAGGCCATTTCTTGTACATAAAACACTGCTCACATTTCTATGCTGATATATATTTTCAGTACAGAGTTTCAGATTTAAATTAATCCTCAGAAATCATCTTGATAAGATGCAGCAAGCATCTTTATAATTATTTCAAATCAGAGAGAAGAATCACCTGTAGAAATAAATCAGTTTGTAAAAAGCATTATTAAATTCCTTTGAATCTTCTGGGCACTATGCAAGTATCCCACACATTCTACAGCTAGGAAATAAAAGCAAATCGTTTTAAGGACCATTATTCTGAGTTGCTGAGTACTACTGAACTCCATGAAAAGACAACTGACACTGACCATACCAATATCTTTGGAAACTGGGATGCAGGTGTCCTACCCATTGTCTCATAATGAATTTAAGTTAAATCATAGCTACTTTGGCTGAAGAATGCCACAATTTGGATTTTTTTTAAGTGATCAGTTTAAAAGAACAAGAAGCTGGATTTCTTTACATAACGGTAGAAAAACACATCCTTTACAATATAGTAATATCAAAATTCAATAAAATCCCTTTCAAATTGAGTTTATTCCTCAGTCTACATTCTATAGATATAACTTGTATAACATGTCTGACCATGTCAAGTTCATGTGTCACAAATTTTATTTTTCAGGGATTTTAAATAAAAAGAATTCCACCATTTCAGGGTTTAGTACATTGTATGTGCAAAAAAAATTTCAACAACTGCTAATTTTTCCTTAATCCACCTTCCACCACCACCTTTAAAATAATTTTTGCTGACATTCAGATTGGAAACTCATGAGTCAATTTTAATTCTTATTTATAGACTTCAGAAACAAGCAAAGTCTAGGCAAGTCTGTGTTTGATGTTTCTAAAATATCTTCCAGTACCATTTTCTATAAGAGGATCCCCACCTTCTGAAAAAATTAACTATCCTTCAGGCATGCCTTTGATGTTATCATGGAAGACCTAATTTTACCTAACACAGTGTGGGACATACTGACAAAGGGCTAGGCATGAAAAAGACTGCCTGGTGGCAAAATTACTTGGCCACACCCTGCATGCATTCTAAAGAGTATCTTGCTTGCATAAAGAAAACCCAAACTTGAAAATCACGTGCTGCACACCCCAAGAAACTAGAGAAAGGGTCACTTAACACAAGTCTCTACATCAGAGCTTTTTGTTTGCTTTTTTGTTGTTCAGACATGCCATAGATTGCCAGATCCCATTCTGTCGGTACTTCCGCATTTATCTGTGGTTGACATCACACCCACTCCAAAAAGAGCCATCACCAATTTAAAAAATAATTATTAAAAAAAGTTAATTTTTTTGGTGTGTTTTGGAACACAATATAAAATTGTAGTTCATGCGTTAATGTAAAGAAATGTTACTGTGTGCTATAGTTTTCAGTTGCCATATTGATATATGCTTTTTGGTTACTTGTTTGGTCTGGTTTTTTTTAATAATCAACAACAAAGTGTCACAGACCAGTGCTGCAAATTATTGAATCAAGACTTTCAGTAGGAGGCATGTAACATCTATTAATTATAAAACAATCTCCAAGAGCTTTTGAAACCAAGAAGTGATGGTATAACTGGGCCAAAATCTGGACAGATCTGAAACTGTTTTGAGGCTGGTAGAAACAACCAAGACCACTGAAAATGGTCTGGGTAAAGATCCACTTCCATGACTAAAGCTCTTAAATTACAAAAATTCACCCACTTTTATTCCAGCCTAATATAAATAGTATTTCATACATAAGGATAAACTTGTTAGAAGATACAACCTAATATTGTTTTAATTCCATCCAAAAGGATGGGTCATGTGACTTTAGATTAGCAGAACAAAATGTCAACTTATTTAATGTTTTTAGCAAAAACTCCTTGTAAAACAATATTACAGTAACAATACATATGGTGCAATAATTCACCTTTTCTGAATTACTGAAGAATGAACAGACACTAACAGCCAATCTGTAGTAAAATTGTTATTACAAGTCACACAATGTAAGAATAATCATATTGTAAAAACATTATAAATTTTTCTGAGAAAATTTAGAATACTAGAATCTGAAAAATTAGTTTTCACTTCAGTAACATTAATCTGCCGTGTGATTTTGCACAAGTTAGGGGAAATAAACAATGCAAATAATTTTAATGTATCTGAAGCAACAAAAGCCAAAAGCAAAAATAAAGAATCCATTGAATAACATGGTTTTTACCATTAAAAGTAAAGTAACACATAAATATTTTGTCGGCAAGAAGAGACTCCATGTAACATTGTGTCACTTTTCCTTCATTGACCTAGCAAATCATTTATTCCTGTTGATAGTTTAACCCTGCTAAACTAGGCTTAGGTGGTCAATTTCTAAGGATCATTTGTAATCATTGGGTCCAACTTTCTGCATAACTTAAAACACTAAAATTCTATTTATTTCCATGCAGAGTACTTCGGTTCAAAGTTTTCCTCTGGTAACTGACAAACACCAACTTTAACCTGACAAATTCAACCGTCAATGATTTACCTTGTACTTCTTTATCATGACATTCTTTCAGTTTGGACCACAGTTCTTTGAAGAAATCTCCTGTAGGTTCTGCAGAACTAGGGCTCCCACAGCTTCCTCCAGACGCATTCATCTTGCTTTTTTTCTGCTCCCAGCTTCTCTGACGTGCAGAACTGGCTCACCCTCAAACTTTGTATTTTAAATTACATAGTTATGAAACTGTTTCTGAAGAGAGGTGTACGTCTGTAACAACAGAATGATAACATTTACATTTGGATTTATCAGAGCCTTGTAGCCATGGATGAAATGCAAACTTTACTGTCTATCCTTGTTGAAGATATATATTTATATACTTTTATACTGACAATCACTCTGAAAGTTTGGACAATGTTAAGTATTCTACTGCAGGTAATTACAAACTAACAGAATTTTCCTCCCCTAAAAAAGCTATCAACTTAAAATTACATAAAATACCTAGGAGCCTTTATATGTTTCCTATCTAAAGTTATGCCAAATTCCTGTTTTCCAAAAGTAAGCCATAGAGCCAAAATCTGGCTGCCAGCAAAAACATTTGTCAAAAGCAGAGATGGATTTGTCTATATACATCCTTTATATACTGGATTCAAATGACATGCTATTGAAAAGCTCACATCCCTGTGAAGTCTTCATAATTCTGTATTAAAATTATTCCCATTCCCTGTTGAAAAAAAAATAATTGGAGAGTAATCACAAAAAATCTAAAAATCTCCAAAACATTAATATTTGAGAAGAACAATCAATGTCAGATAGCTCTGTCTTAGAAGCTTGACTGCCTACAAAATTTAGGATAATCTCACCCATAATTCTCATTTGCTTTGAAGGGTTTCTTACAGAGATGATACACTCAGGAAAACTACAGGAGAAGCATGGTACTCAGATCTGGCTCTGAGACAAGGTAAAATTCAATTCTACTGGCACTGGGTGTCCAACACTGAAATACTCCTGTAATCTCTGTCCTTCAGTTCCCTCTGTGTGAAACTGGACATTCTACGTTTTCCCCATTTTTATGCAGTCAATTTTAAACAAACACTTTTGAACAGGGACTGTCATTACCAGGTGGACATAGCTATCTCTACGACTTCGTAATATAAAATATAGTAAGAAAAAAAAAGCTAGGTATTTTGTACTACTCCTAAATTAGCAACTTGAGCAAGCAAACCACAATGTCTATACTGCCAAATGGAAGAAATAAGTTGCTCTCAAATTTTTGAGGTATAAGTTATAGTTCAGATGATATAATGTCTATGATTATTCAAGAAGATGCATTTCCTATCCTGAGAGCCTTCAAAAAACTTAGAGTATCTGAATGCAGCTACTGGTTTAGCTGGTCTCCCAGATTCACCACAATAAAAAGTTCAGTAATCAAGTATAAGGTCTGGAGGCTTTGGTTCCACTCTCCTGTCTCATCTCTCTGTGCACTGTTTTAAGTCACTTTTTTTCAGTCTGGCTGTCTTTATAGTAGAATAAAAATAATGGAACAAAACATTATTCTCAACAGAAACACTTGAACTGTATGTTTTCTATAGTATAAGGATACTTAAATGTTACAATAATGCAGCCAGCAGCTCCACATTTCTTTAACGTGGTCTGTCCATAGCAAATTCAGTGCTTATTTCAGGATATGGCTTCAAGTTAGCAAACGTATCTTCAGAGAAATCCTTTAGAAAATAAAATTACCCTTTGAAATTAGCAATGCCTACAAGTCTTCAACAGAAATTGACAGTAATTTGCTTGCATCTTTGCAGCTGAAATGCTCCACTCTGTGTGCAGCCACATTAAGCCATCTTACAATGCTTCTGTGAGGAACCAATTGCCTAGTGACATCAGAAATGGCTTTTAAACTCTTGCTTTGCACCTTCAACAGATGTTTCAGGATCAAGCTTTTTCTCTATCAAACACTAGGGCAGTGAAAACCACATGCTTCCTTTCACTTACTGTTTCAGATTTAAGTATGTCAGATGACTCATTTCCACAGAAAGGTCATCTGACTCTAGACAGTAAATGGTGTCCTTAGTGTTTGTTTTGGGTTTTTTTTTCCCCCAAGATGACTGCGAGAAAAAAATGCACAAAACCCGCTCAGAGTTTCTGCAAATTATTAGTACATCAACCGACTACAAATAGGAAAAACAGAGCAAAGCATTTTCCCAAGCTGCATCTGCTTCAAGATCCCAAAATGATACATTGCTTCCTACAGGTGGAAGGAAAACACAGGGCCCGCAAGAAGTGTTCAAGTGCAGCCTTTGACAGGCCTGGGCAGCTGCACAGGTGTAAAAGTGATGGCTTAGTCTCCCGCCCTAACAAAGTGCTTTCCAGTCCTTAGGGGGAAAAAGCGCCAGAGCTGGATGTACGGACACTCGCAGGCAGGGACAGAAGTGGCAGCTGCCTGGAGGTGGGGGTGGAAGCACAGCGCCAGCCCCTCTCCCGGATGTCCTGCTTTGCTGCTATCCTGCCGACTGCCGCCTTCACAGAACCACCTAAGAGCGTCCATTTCCCTATTTTTCCATAAACCAGCTCCCTTCGGCACCGTAAAGCTTTCCACGGCTTCATCAATGACTGCCTCCAGGAATCCATCAGCACCGATAAACGCGCCGAGGCTGCTTATCGGTGTTGATACCTTTCCGCCAGGGACACACCGCCCCTCCGGGATCCTGGGGAGCTCTGATCCCCAGCAAAAACCACCGGCTGCTCCTACAAACTCAACTCTCCTGTATTCCCGGCGGTGAACTTTGTTCTCCTTTCCCTCTTGCACGAACACCGCACAGAAAACTCACTCGAAAGACACGCCGGGATGCTCTGGGAAATCCTGCCATGCCCAACACCTGGGAGCTTCCCGCCAGGCTTGGGTCACACCCCGCAGCCGGGACGCCAGAGGAGCGGTATGGCATGTCCCACACGCCGCTTCTCCCGAGCGGCGGGAGCCTCCCAGACGGAGAGAACGGGGCTCCCTGGGGCGACGGGGCTGCGCCTGAGGAGCGCCCGGCAGCAGCCGGGCCGGCGGGGCTGTGGCGGGGCCGTGGCGGGCCCGTCCCCGGGGCGGGGCGGAGCGGAGCGCTCGCTCCCCGGCGGAGGACGGGGAGAGCGCGCGCCGTTACCTGGTTGGCTCCCGGCGGCTCCGCGCGCCAGCGGCGGGAAAAAAGGAAAAACTGCAGCGAGCGCCTTCCCTGCCCAGAGGGGCGGGGCGCGGGCAGCTCTCGCGAGGCTTCCGCGCTGCTCTCGCGAGAGAGGGGGAACGTGAGGGTCTGAGCCCCGCGTCCGCGCGGCCGCTGTGGGGTGCGGGTGGCGGGGGTGGCTGTGTCGCGGTATCACAGGATTAACTGGGTTGGAAAAGACCGTTGAGGTCATCGAGTCCAGCCTTTGACCAAACACCGCCATGTTAACTAGACCACGGCACTAAGTGTAACGTCCAGTCTTTTCCTTTAGCACCTCCAGGGAGGGTGGCTCTACCACCTCCTTGGGCAGTCCATTCCAATGTCTAATCACCCTTTCTGTGAAGAAGCTATTTCTCATGTCCAATCTAAGCCTCTTCTAGGGCAACCTGAGGCCATTTATTTTTGTCCTGTTGCTTGTTGCCTGGGAGAAAAGGTTCACCCCCACTAGGCTACAGCCTCCTTTCAGGTGGTGTAGAGAGTGATAAGATCTCATCTGAGCTTCCTCCAGGCTAAACAACCCAGCTCCCTCAGGAGAGTCCGTCATGGGCCTTCACCAACTTCACTTCCCTTCTCACACACTCCACCACCTCCTTCCCGGATTGAGGGGTCCAAACCTCACAGCCTCACCAGGGCCGAGTACAGGATCCCGCTGGCCACACTATTTCTGACACAGGCCAGGGTGCTGTTGGCCTTCTTGGCCACCTGGGCACACTGCTGGCTCATGTTCACTCATCGAGCTCACCAGGTGTTGTCTCAACCTTCTCCTCCTCTGGCCCAGTACTTGGGGTTTCCACAGAGAGCTGCCAGAGGAAAGCAAAGGGGACAAGCCAGGCCCTGGCTGCTGCCACAGTTTGGTGTGACAGCAGGCATAGAACACTGGAGAAGCAAGGGTGTGTGTGAGAGCCTGCATTGGAACAAATGCTGCCCCTGCCTTCCTGAAAGAAGTGCTTGCTGGTTTAGATGTAAAGATGATCATCAGGGTGTACAACTGTGCCAGAAGTGGCCTTGCCTTTAAGGCTATGCTGTTAAATCTATCTGTGCCGATTTGTAATCGATGCTGGGGTTTACACACAGTATATGGGGGGGGCTTCCCCCCACCCTCTTAATCATAACAGTTTCCATGGGTTGTTATTTTACTGTACGTCAGAGCAGCCTAGGCATATTTTTGTGTTTCATGGGTATGGAAACCAGGAGGTACGTATAATTAGTACAGTATATGGCTGTTGAACATTTTTGTCACTTCTCAGTGTTATTTTCTTTGCCCAAATTGCAGATCAATGTTCCTTCATTCATTGGGACCAGTTCTGCTATCTGCAACGAGACAAACCCCTTGATTGTAGGTAGTTCTTAGTGATGAAATAGAAACAAAACACAATTTTTCACTATTACTATTTTGCCTTCACATGATTCCACTGGACCATTTTTGTATGTATAGGAACTCTTGCAGAGAGAGCTTGGTGGCATGACTAGAAGACATAATAATAGTGATGAGTTTGGAAGGGACAGTGCTGCAAACATGTACTTTCTAGATCATTAATAGCAATATTTAGAAAGTTAAGTGTTCAGGTATTTCATAATTGTTAGTAGCTGTTCCATCTAATTCTTTTTACATTAATCTGATCACTCAGGTCTCAAGGAAACATCATAAATAAGGACCTACAGCATAAATAAAACTGGATCTGAAATACTATTTCAACATTTTTGAGGTATTTTGAAATACTGTCAAACAGGAGATGACACGATTCAAGCTTCAAATCTGTTGTTCCCTCTTGTTGAAAATATTATTGGTTTCCCATCAAGTACATACCACGAATTCTGAAGTATTTAGAAAATACCTTGCACTTAACTTTTCTGCTCATTCCTCATCATTGTTTAACCACTTATTTTTCATCTTAAATAAAATGAAAATGTTGTTCAGGAGCTCGGCAGCAGATTACTTATTGTAAGATCAAATTGTAAGTTTGATCCATTATCAGATTGGAGATATATGGTGGAGCTAAAATTAGCTACGTGTTTCTGGAAGAAGCTGTCACATAATAGGTTGTGATAGACACTCCACTTTCTAAATAATGCTTGTTAGCATCTTTTCATTCTACTTTTGAAATTTCTGTAATCTTAAAGTTTGTAATGTAGGCAAGCAATCATTTCCTCATGTTAAGAGAAGCAGATGTCTTAAATCTACGCACAGATCTGATAGGTAGCAATAAAATAGCCCTCTTGCTGATTGATCAGATATTTTACCATAAACTGTACCTTTCTTACTATTTATAGGAAGCACTCTGGTAAATAATTGTGTCATCCCTTTTATTTCCCAATAAACTCTGAGCTGTTTGTTTTCATATTCATTCATGTTGATCTTTACAGCCATATAAATCCACCGACTTCTACAGTGTTATCCTTATCTATTCCACAGTAAGTGAAAACGGATTAACGCTAACGGTTGAACTTTACTTTTATCTCCCTTCCAGATTTATTTGAGTTTATGTACTCCGTAATCACATAGTTGGCCACTGAATAGATTCCTGGCTCATTGAACGTGATAGAAAACTACTGGAGAGTCTGATATTCCGCATTCACACACTGGGTGTCTTAAGATGACTAGTCTAACTGGAACTGCATCTCATCCACCTTGTAAGAGTAAACACACACACCTAGACAATAAAACTGTGGGAAAAATGCTTCACCGTTGCTGCGCTTCAACAGATACGAAACTTCCTGTGGTGTCATGGCTCGTGTCCAGATTTCAAAATAACCCTTACTGTGGCACGTTGAACTAGGTGACAGAACACTTATCCATCAGCAATTCTGCAAAAAGGGAATCTTATTTTGTCCTAGCCCACTTTAGACCTGGATGGTCTGAAATGTTTAATCCTATAATAGTAGGTGGAGCTGTCTATTTTCAGTTACAGTTTAATGGCAATGCCTTTCTTCTTGATGACCAGACTATTTACCAGCAAATCAGCTAATAACTGAGGTTCTATTGTAAGCATACTGCAATGTTGCAGCACAGATAAAATTAAAAATAGCCTTTAATTCACACCCCCTCCCTCCCTTTTTGAGGGGTAGTACAGAGGCGGCATCAGTGTTTCTAACCACTCAGGTAGCAGTAGATGACCTAGTTCACTGCATATGCATAGAGTAGGGCTAAAAGATATTAGCAGAAAGCTTACTTTTTTTTGTTTGTTTGTTTCTATTACTTTAAATTTAGATGTAAAGACTAAAAGCAGATTTGAATTACAGTGGGAAGTCCAATTTAAATATTTTATCTGCTTTATGCACAGAGGTAACTATTTCATTCTTTGCATATATATGTGTGTGTATGTATAAAATAAAATAGTGAGGTCTTTATGTATTTGCATGAGATTTAATAGATCACACATACATATACATCGCCAGTGTGTTCACAGTCTCCTCGACTTGCAGATGTGCAACTAAAGGATAAATATATTGTTTAACTCTCTAGTCGTATTCATCTAATGTGCTTCATGTTGCAGCTGCCAATAAGGACATCAAAGGAGCCCAACTTCAGATGCAGCAAATAAGAATATGTGGCACAGTTCAGCTGCTACCTAAATGGAATTTGAACTGGAAGTGCTCTGAGCAGCATGATTTCTTGCAGCTGGGAGGGCACATAGACAACAGACACCACCACTGCTGTCTGGCACAGGTGGTTGCTTTCTCTGGAAAATAGGGAGGAGCCACTCCATCACCCCACTAGTTGAATTTGATTCTTCTCAAGCTGCTTGCATAGCCACGTTTGAAACTGAGCCAAGATCAAATTCCCTGATGGCAGTAACACTGATTATTTTAAGGAACCCTCTTCTTTGAAGTGCTTTCACTGCTCCTCATCTACAGTCAGAAGCTGCCAGGGCTTATTCAACTCAAATTCTCAGGTCTCTTAGGAAGTCTTGGTGGAGGGAAAAAAAAAAAAAAAAAAAGCAAAGCAATATGAGGGATGCTGTTGCAGGATCCCAGTGCAGTGTTTCTGGTCTTCAGGCTCTAAGCAGCAGCACCTATTTGTATTAGTGGCATGCAGAAAGTAGCAGCATGTTTTGCTCATGCTGATGGTTTCTCAGGGTAACATGACCAATTTGAGTAGTTATGCATATTTATCTCAGCTTTGGAAGGCTGAAGTAAAAGTTAACAGATCTGTGCACAAAATCATGCCACCTACCTTTTGCTGTAGTGAACAACACGAATTCAGGAACAGAAAAGAAACAGCATATAGCAAGTAATACTTTACTTACCATTTGGGAAAAAGAAATTCCCAAACAATAGCCCCTGCAGTTTCCAGCCCCCTACAAAAAAAAAAAAAGGTAGCTGAGGAAAACCCAAATAAAACAGAACACATAAACTGGAGAGAGGATGACACACAGCATTTTGAAAAAGTGGTTTATTTAGTTTGAATTTTAAATATATTCAACATGTTCTGTGTTAAAACCCTATCGCTTTAGAAATCAAAGCTCTTTTGTAGCATTTTCTAGACTCTACACAGAGTTTTTGTGCAAACCATACAGTTCAACCAGCTGTAATTTTTCTTTGGAGAATGGTTTATCCCTTAGCAAGTTTTTCCTTATTTGGTAGCAGAATCAACTGAGAATGCAAGAAAATTAAACCTTTTTTCCTGATGAATATTGTAAGCCTCTGTGGGACTACAAAATTTTCCTATGTTCTTTTCTGTTTATCCACACTTTGAAGAAAAAATTTTACACACACATACAGTGCTGCTAATGAGAAGGTGATTTCAATTCATTGATTTTTTTTTAAGAGGCTCAGGAGGCCTTTTTCTTGGCACTCTACAAGAGAATATTATTAATTTTAGCATCAACTTGGAAATAACTGGCAGTAAACATAATTCAAGCTTCCTGTTGTGTGACTACCATAGTCTTACATAATCCTGTATAGATATTTTGTATCTAGTAGTTTGTATCCACTGATCTAATATTTTTTTTTCACATCACAAAAGAGAATGGTAATTGTTTGGCTTAAAGTTAGAATAAAATCAAGAATTCCTGGGAGACAGAAGTAGCTACGTGAAGGTTTTTTAAAATGTTGCTACACAGATGTTGAGAAGATTCACACTTACTTAAGTTAAAGAGTTATTTTGACCTAACAGGCATGACAAAACCTGTCTTCATTCCTTTCTATTCAGCTCAGCAAGTAGTTCTGTGCTCCAGTAGTTAATCAGTTACTAGATTCCACAGCTTTTGTTTTCACACTGTTTAATTTTTCTTATTTGACACAGAACCTGTGAATGGATTCAGCTGCAAATAGAGGTACAACTTTCAGGTCAGCCTACTCTTTATGACTAGCACTGCTTTTTATTGCCATTACCACCACCGTTACTCGTTCTAAACAGGGAAATTTCTAATAAGGATGTAGAAAGAAAACAGTAAGAATGACAAGTAAGTTTCCTATCTTACCACAAAATAGGTAAATCTAGGCTTAAGTAGCTCTCTCTATAAAATAGAAACATTAAAAAAGTTAGTCTGGCAAGAATTAGTAACCACACATCTTACTGTAATGACAGTATCCCTTTTCACAACACTGCTGTTATGTGACAGGGATTATAAAAACACTGTATAAAAGAGAAGACCAATCAGCAATACTTAAATGAACAGCTCAAAATACCAACTCATTGGCTGTGGAGTTTCTATCTCTCACTCCCCTGCTAGGTTCATTGAACTGTCCTTGCAGTAAATACTCTGCAGACAGAGATGATGTTGAGCTGCACACAGAAGGTTCAAACAGCTTCAATTATCAAAATCCTGTCAACAAGTGCCGTAAAGACTGGCAGTCCTCAGACACATTAAGGAGATAGCCACTATACCACTTCAAGCATCAGAGAAATTTTTTGCTAAAGGTTATCTTAAATTAATTTAAAAGAAAGATTTTCAAAACTCACCCTTCTGTTTGAATTCTGAAAAGTTCTGTTCTTGGTCGGGGTGATAAATATTTACTATTGACTTCCCCTCCAGCTATAAACCTCAAGTGTAAGTGAGATGAGGAAGCCACTGTGGACCACACTAGAGAATGCCGAGAGGAGATCTGCTGCACCTAAGATATATACAATGTGCAATGGATAACCTAATATGCCTTTCATTTAACTGGCTGGGCAGGTTTCTGCATTCTGGAGAGCATGGAATCATACCAGAATTTGTTGGCATAACAGGCCCGTCAGACCGGTTCCCGGGGCACCCAGGAACCTGCCCAACCAGTCTGCATCAAAGGCCAGCCCAACATGCTGCAGCTCAGCTCGGCTGGGGAGGCTTCTGCACCGAGAATTATTCACACCTCTGTCAACTCCCAACATACTACTCAGGGAGAATGATGTAGCCTCCAGCAAAATAATTTACCGAGGGGTGGGGGAGTGATACATCCTTGTTAAGTGTACCAAGATCTTATTGTTATAAATTTTGTTTCATTTTATATGCAGATGAACTGGGCTAGAGGTCTGCCCAGCATAAGTGCAAAGAGAAACAGAGAAGAAAATGCTTTTTTTAATAACACTTACAGTACAGACTTATTATAATGGAGTAACACCAAATCTTTAGTGTGACCACCTAAGATCCCCCAAAATTATGCACTAATTCAGATTTATTTCCAGTGCAAAGTGTATTTACTGTGTGCATAGGATTCAGCATATCTTTGTTACCGCATGAGAGACAGCACACTGGGAGCTTGCACGTGGAATATCCACCTTGTGACTTTGGTGGAGCCCTAGGTCTGTGCAAGCTGATCCTGAATTACTGCATAGCCTATTTCAAGGTGAAACAGGTCAGAGAACATGGCATGTATGAGCCATGCTTCCATAACTGTGAGGAACTACAGTGGTTGGTTGCCCTGCTACAATAGCACATGGGCTGCAATGGCAGCTGCGCTGCTTGTTCATGGCTGTGGGGCAAGAATACTTGCACAGCAGTCCTGCATATTGCAGTTATTCAGGCTGTAGGCAGACATTAGCATATGCCCCGACAGAACAGAAGCCTGCATCTGTGTAAACAAAGTAAATTTTTTTTTTCTTTTCAGATACAAATATAAGCCATAATTTTCAGATCTCCTACCATGATTGTCAGAGAGGGTGAATAAAATCAGTAAGAGCTGTAATTAACACTTCTGGAAATGTAATCATGGGTGCATATACAATCAGTCTGCTAAACCTGTGCTTCTTTTTCGTTTAGGCACCTAAAATTTAAGCACTTGGGCTTGAAAAAGTTTACTGTATTGGATGTTGTCAAAGGCTGTAACTATAGAAAGCTGTGTTTGTTCATAAAATGATCCCACAGTGATATTTATCATTTTTTAGATAATCTTTTCTTGTTTACCAATTTTAATAATAATTACTAGACAATCTGTGATCAGAATAGGAAGTTACCACCAAATTCAAAGTGTTGTGTAGCATAGGCAGTGTTTTCACCATTGACCTGAATATGAAAGACAAGCTGATATTTGAATATACTCAGATGATTTTACTACAGGAAAGTAACCCTTCCTATAAAACTGCATTTTATGACTGCCTTGAAAGTAGGCTCTTTTCTGAAGAAGACAGCTAGCTGAGCTGAAATGCCAGATGCATGCTCTTTGTGCTTGCAGTCACACCACCTTAGGCTATGGTTGCATACAGCTAGGTAGGACTGGGCTGGGTCAGTACTTGGATAAAGGATTTACAAAGAGTCTGCAGGAAGTGGTTTTGGTGATTCAGGAGGCTATACTGAATAATCAGGCATCACTGCCAAATGTGATGGTTCTGGGTATGCCCCAGTCTTGGTGCCATATTAAATGGAAGTTTTTAAAGACTCCAAAGCCCTTTCCACAAGCACCTAATCTTGAACTGTAAATCCCTGTCCAACATGAATGTACCGAGTCTGCCTACGATTTAGTTTTGTCAGTGTCGCATAATTGGATAAACTTTGTAACTGATTAACACAAGAAAATTACCACCCAAAATAGCTGCAAGACTGTACAATGTGGCAAAGGTTGTGCTCATACACTAGACTTAACGAGGTCTGGTGTGCTTCAAAGCTGGTCTACTTCCAACTATGTCAGCTGGTCTCATAAAAGATACCATCTGAAATGTTCCTTTCTGCATTCTAAGATCATCATTAAACTTGGAGTCTTATGGTGAACCCGATGATGGGTCTTTGAAGGCATTGTACTTGCCATTGAACTCTTTACTGGACTCTGAAAAGCCTAGGGATAAAAGGGATGTTTATTACCTCTTCCTTTGACTTGAGAGCTTAAAGGAGTTTGTTCTTTCCAGATTCTTGATTCCCCCCCAAACAAAATCCATCATGTACAGACCTTAGAGATTCAGCAGGGGCTTTTCCTTAGTTAGGGCTTCTCATACAGAGTTGCTGTCAGCAATGAAATTTTAAGTTATGCTTTTATATTAATTTCCACAAGTTACAGAAATTTAATTTTTCATAAGTAAAAGGCAAAAGTGTAAGACAAAGGAGTTATTGTATGTGTCAAAACATACTTTGACTTAATTTGATTCTTGTTTTCAACCTCATAACTCATAACAGTTCTAAATGTAGACTTACCAGAGACATAAATATTGTAGTATCAGAGAGTTCTCTGTGAGAGAGATACTTTTTCCTCCTGAAGAAAGCAGTATAATTATCTGAAGGAAATATTTCTCTTATTTCAAATATAATTTGCATTAAATGAATTTCACAGGTGAATTCTCTTCAAAATCAGACCTACTCTTGCATGCTTTTCCAGTTGAAAATAAAGTTCCAGCTTCCATCAAGAAAAGTCTCATAATGCTTATCTGTGAGCTCTACCATTTTATACAGTGATCACCTAAAATCTTCTTCTGGAGAGAAGTCTCAGAGAGGTGCAATTCTGAAAAGTAAGAAAATATAAATGGTGCAGGCTTCAACTTGTTATTATAGTGAAGGTATGCACAAACATTCATGTCTACAAGTATTCATTACAGAGAGTTTACAACATACCTCCCCATAGCTATCCAAAGCTGTTCAGTACATTCAGAAGCAAATTCAGATAACACACATGCCACCACCCCCTATCACAGTTAGGTAATATTTCTTTCCTCTTGACTAGTTGTGTAGCAGTGTAAGGGCAGGAGACTGTTGGTTCATATAGGGCATAATGAAAAGTAGGCCAAGTCCGACCTTGGAAAAGGAAGAGAAGTAGCAGCAGTTAATTTCTGACCTAGAGGCTAACTAGAGAAAAATGCCTTCAAGTGAGCCAAGGGATGCAACCTAAAGCACTTCTGATGCTTTCCTGAGCAAGAACAGGTTTAGAACTTGTTGCAACTAATTTGTTGATGACAACAGTTTCTCCTTTACCTTGTCTGAGACAGCAGGACATAAAAAATGAATTACAAGGGAACTACCACTATTCTCACTGCAAAAGTAAGCCTGATAAAAAAGCTTGCTATTTTTCTCTGAGAGGAAAAAAATCTTGAAATATTATTTCTTGGTGTCTTACAAACATTTGGGACTGCTTTGCTTTTTTTTTCATGGAGATTGATCATTACAGAGCAGTGAGTATTTGCTGTAAAGAGTTATAAAGCAGGAACCAGGAGATGCATTGCTGTCATTGTTTGAGTGTCTGAATAATAACTGCTTTTTTGTTATTTGTCTTCTTCTTCAGATGATACTGTATTAAGGAACAGGCTTTCTATATGAAGACATGGAAGCATGGGATATCATGGACCTTACAGTTACCTTTTCACATGCTGAAATTACATATCTTATTTTTCTGTTTTGTCGTCTAGGCCTTCAGTTATTTTAAATATGAGACCTACTTTCCCATTCCTTAATCTGTACTTATGGTATTTTCTGCAGGCCTTGGTCAAAGACCTTAGAAAATCTGAGTAGATTGTCTACTACACGTTTGTCTGCTGTTTAACTAATATACCAGATGGTTTTGTTAAGGAGCTACAGTTTTCCACTGCAGGAGTCTTACTGAAATATTCTTAGCACATTAGATTTCTCTTTGTGTCTCATATTGTGAAATGAAATAATAGTTTGAATCAAGCTATTACTGGAGAAAGACTCACTAAAATTTTCAATAGGTCTGTTTTTTAAAAAAGAATATGTTGTTTTTTGCTTTCTGGCTCATTGAGTTTCAGTGAAAATATATATTTTTGTCTTGAAACCTAATGTTAGTGAGACAAGATCTTTTGTTAGAAACTTGAAATGCCACATTGGTATTAAGCATCTTCAGAATTCAGAACATTGAGGGAAACCCAACCACTCTTACGTTCCCTTACTTCAATCAACCGTCCTGTTAGAGAATTTTTCCTTCCAATACCTAAAGCTTTGTTGGCCTCTCCTGGTTCTTGTACTTAGAAACAGCAAGGGGAAGAGGGTATTATGAAAACACTAGATGGATGTAAATGTATGTTCCAACTTTTCAAAAGCAAGGCTTTTGACTGTTGCAATTTAATGTATTTCACAGAAAATTCCAAGCTGCTAAAGTTAGAAGGAGCTTTTCTAATGACTTTATTGAAGCCAGATTTTTAATCCTCTTATGTTTATCTGTCTTGTATGATAAAATAATTTTGAAAAAATTACTGTTCCAGTATATGTTTCTGGCTTGAGCTGTTAAGGGAGCTACTCACTTTTTGAAGGAAGAGGGAAAGATAAACTTAGGCAGCCATTTCTCTGTGGTGCTAGTCCATACACAGTATACAGTACCACGCTTTGTTGTGACTCAAGATTCCCTTCCTGGCCATGCGTGGTAAAAACGGAAAATCAAGACAGACCCATCAAACCTCCACCTTTGACCTTCAGCCTGTGACTTAAACCATAAGTATGCTTGTATCAGTTCAGCACGTCACCCAGCAGATCACTAGCTCCACATCCTCTCCCTCTCTTACTTCTTCAACTTCTGTCATCTATGATCAGTTGTTTATATACAGCAGCTACAACAGTCACACCATTCAAGCTGTTGTCAGCTCTTAGAGCTTCAAAAGGAAAAAGTTCACACCAGTCTTGCAGCATTATTGAAACTGGATGAACAGAGTGGCTTGTTTCTATGCCTCATTCAGTACTTCTTCTTTATTCTGC